TGGCACTTTGGTTTTTTTAATTACTGGTTTCAACCCAATAACCCCCCCCCCAATAAGGGAGGAATATGAAACAAGAACAAAGGAAGTAGAGAGAAACGGTGCTTCAAATTTAAACTTTGTTTTGTACAATGAGAAACCCCACCGACTGGGAGAACATTTTTGCACCCAACACTAATGATAAAGGACTGATCACAAAATCTACAAAAAGCTGATGAGACTCAACAAAACAAAAAAAATAATCCAGTCAAAAAATGGGCAGAAGAGCTAAAAAGAAACTTCTCTGAAGAGGAAATGCAAATGGCCAACAGGCATATGAAAAAATGTTCAACATCACTTGCAATCAGGGAAATGCAAATCAAAACTACCATGAGATACCATCTCACACCAGTGAGAATGGCACATATTAAAAAAACTAGCAACAACAAATGTTGGCGAGGGTGTGGAGAAAAAGGAACTCTCCTGCACTGTTGGTGGGAGTGCAAAGTGGTCCAACCACTATGGAGAGCTGTGTGGAGATTTCTGGACCTACTAAACATAGAGCTTCCCTATGATCCAGCAATTCCACTCCTAGGTATTTACCCAAAGGACACAGAAACATCAATTCCAAAGAGCACCTGCACCCCTATGTTTATAGCAGCACTGTTTACAATAGCTAAGCTTTGGAAACAGCCCAAATGCCCAAAAATAGATGACTGGATCAAGAAGATGTGGTACATATATACCATGGAATATTACTCAGCATTCAAAAAAGATAAACACATGCAATTTGCAGCAACATGGATGGAGCTGGAAGGGATCATGCTCAGCGAAATAAGCCAGAAAGAAAAAGAAAAATACCAGATGGTCTCACTCATAGCAGGAATCTAGAAAACTTAAATAAGGGACCAGGAAAATGAATAACTATAAGAAAATATCAAAATCAACAAACAACTATGAACCAGAGACACTCTATGGGGGTTAGGGGCGGGGAAAGGAGGGTTGGGGTCAAAATAAGGGGGTTGCAATTGTATGGGGACTATAAAAATAAAATTTAAATTAAAAAAAAAAAAAAAAAAAAAAACAACTTTGTTTTGTGAGATTAACCAGGAAAGTCTCCTTTCCCTTTAGTGCCTCAGCCCCTTTAGGATGATTTCCTTTGGGGCGTAAGCACATTCTCACGCCAGGGTGTTTTTATCTGACCATGACTGCCCTAGAGTTTTTCACATCTCAGAGAAAACCTAAACTGAATGGTGGTGACAGTTGCCAAAGTCCAACTGTTTTTCAGACTGAAGTTTGAAGCAAATGCCATTTTCATAATTTACATCACTGTCCTCCAAATTAGTTATGTGCTGGTAAGGGCAAGGTCACCCAAGACTGTACTGCACCCCACCAGCTGCCCTATGTGAGCAGACAAGGAGTACGGAGTACGCTGGGCTACCCTGATTGTGTTGAGAAACAAAAACATTAAGTTTATAGACTTCCTTGTGCAGTATGTTCAAGGCCGAGGACCGTTGTGAAAATGATTAATGGCGGTGGCCAACATTCAGATTCACAGCTTCTCAAACCAAGTTATAAAGGAAAGAGCATCACCTCCTCCATCTCCTAAGCAACAGAAAGTTAGAACAAGCAACTTAACCATTCCTGCCCATGCCAAACCTAGTGAGATGCATTTGCCAGATTTTTTTTGTCTTAAATTCAGATACTATCCAAAGCAAGAATCTCAAATAAAGCTGGTTCAAAAATTTTTTTTTCCAAACCTGAAATCCAAAATAGGTAAAGAGAAAAAGCAGAACAAATGTCTTTGAATCTGAAATCTACACTATAGATGAGGGGAAGTTGTAAAACAAAAGGTTTGGGACAAGGGTTCCCTTGCTTGGTTGAAACCCAGCTCTGGACTTCCTCCCTGGCAGCTCAGGCAGGTCTCTCCGCAATGCTCAAGGCGGGTTAAGATAAACAAGCACATCTGTAGACAGGACAACGGGTAACTTAAATCTACTGCCGCGAACAGAACTGAAAATCAACCACTGAAGAGCTGAGGAAAATCAACACCTCTAGAAGGAAACAGCAAAGTGACAAACTACAGTCCTAAAGCTCAAGGAAATGTGTGGACTAGAGGAAGTGAAAGGAGAAAGTAAATAGAATTAACATACTTGAGAAGTAAGAGAGCTTGATGCATCCATGACAAAGGAACAGAAGAACAGGCAAGAAGGACCAATGACAAACTTTAAAAACAGCCAATAAATTAAGAAATTTTAAGAAAAGCAGGATATAGAATAACAGAATCAACACTGTTGAAAAGCAATTTAGTGAGCCTGAGGATTCAGATGAAATATTCTTCCAAGGACAGCATTGCCCAGTTTTACAAGCACCCTAATAAATATTTATATTTCCATGTTATGAATTTTTTTAGACTATGAAAATGTGGGGACTCTCCTGGTTCATTTTGCAAGAATAACTTTCACACAGAGATACATGCATATGTGCATATACAGAACACATCAAAAAATAAGAGAAAAATTTAACTGTGAGTAATTTCCCTTTTGAACCCTAGAGGTTAAAAATCCATTAGCCTGGGCATCTCCTGGTGGCGCAGGCAGTTGAGCACCGCGCTGTGAAGCTGTCTGCAGCCCCTGCAGCGCCAGTTCAATGTTGGCAGGCGAGGGTGCCACATGGCGCAGCAGACCTCAGCAGTGTATTACGTCAGTCTGCTTTTTCTGTTCCCCGCTGTCTCTGGTGAATCCTCTCACCCTCCCGCGCATCTGGCCTGGACCCCAGTTCTCGTATAAATAAATCTTTAAAAAAAGAAAGTTTTAAAAAATCCATTAGCCAGTAGTATACTAAAAGAAAATGCATGATGACTAAATAAGGATCCCCTACCTCCACTCCACAGTTGAAAACACCCCAGGAATGACTGAATGAATTGATTCAACTAAAACTAGATCTACGGGGCCTCCCTGGTGGCACAAGGGGCTAAGCACTGCACTATGAAGCAATCCGCGGCCAGCCAGGGAACAATCCCCATGGTGAGGCAGACCTCTCCTGACTCGCCCACTGCTCCCCTCAGCAGTGTATTTCAGTCAGTCTCCCTGTTCTGTTCCCCACTCTGTCTCTGGTGAATCCTCTCACCCCCTACATCTCTGGCCTGTACCCCAGCTCTTGTATGCATAAATAAACCAACCTTTAAAAAAAATAAAACTAGGGCCTCCCCTGGTGGCGCAGCAGTTGAGCGCTGGGCTACGAAGCTGCCCACAGCCTCTGCAGCGCCGGTTCAATCCCCGGCCACTGGCGAGGGTCCCACATGGCACGACAGACCTCTCCTGCCGCGCCCACTGCTCCCCTCAGCAGTGTACTTCTTCATCGGTCTGCCTGTTCTGTTCCCCGCTCTGGCTCTGGTGAATTCTCTCACCCTCCTGCGCTTCTGACTGTACCCAGTGCTTATATAGATGAATGGATCTTTAAAAAATAAATAAAATAAAACTAGATCTACTATACTAATCCAACTGAGAAATTTAGCAGTTAAAGAAGGAAAGTGTTAACATCTCAGAAAACACAAAAAAATGCAACAGAAAAATTAAACATTCATTCTTAATAAGAACAACTTGCAAGTTAGGAATAGGAAAAAGGGCTCTTAACTCACTAAAAAGTATCAAAAGTGAACACTCCAACTCTCCAACTCCTGGGACACCAGAGCTTTTCTATTTTGACCTGGATTCTTGGTGAGGGCTTTTATCTCCCTTAGTCCCTAACCCCCACACTCACTCTCTCAGAATTCATAATTATAAGCTCATAGGAGCTTTAGGGTTCAAATATAAATGACCATGTGATTGAGAAAGCTGCAAGTCAAAAAAACTAATGCAAAAATTGGTCCCAGGCTGGTAATATCACAGACGTTAGCAAATGCAAACCCACATGAGTAAGGCAGGCTTATACCCAAGGGCAAGTGCCTCTGAAGATGACTCACATCACAAACACAGAAACAAACAATCCTCTCTGAGGGAGAATCAGCAGAAAGCACAGAACAGGATGAATTCTGCAAATAGTGGTAGTTCTTCTTTTCCCAGTTTGGATTTATCTTTTTCTTGCCTAGTTGCTCTAACTAGGACTTCCTCGCTAAAATAGTAGCTATGTTGAATAGTAAGTTGAATAGTAATGGTGAAAGTGGACATCCCTGTATTGTGGCTGATCTTAGAGGAAAAGTTTTTGAATATGTTAGTTGTGGGTTTGTCATATATGGCCTTTATTATGTTGAGATGTTTCTTCTACCCCCATCCTACCATACACAATAACCAATTATAAATATATAATGTTTAGACAGTGGCTAATTGGAAAAATTACATAAGTGGACCAATTTAAAAGAGTTGAGAGTCCAGGAACATTTCCACAAATATATGGAAATTGGATATAATGACAGGAAGGAAAGGATGAAATTTTTTTTAAGGTGCTAGAAAAAATGACAATGTATATGAAATTAGATTAGCAAGGGGTTCTTAAGGAAATAAAATATGGAAAGACCATTTGACTTTCAAAAATGGGGAGGGAAGAGCACAAGAGACTATGGTGACAGTTCACAGGTGACTTAGTGTGGGCATTTTATGGGGATTACACCTGATCAGAGAAATCAAACATTGCACAAAAACGAGCAATGATATAAAAATGATGCATATAAAAACATATTTTAAAACAAATAAAATGCAAATTAAATGCAAAAAAGAATTTGACATTAAATTATAAACTTCTATATGACATCGTAAATATATGAATGTTTTAATTCTCCATATTTTTACAAAACAGTAAAAAGATCCCCAACCAAAATAAAAAAATCTATAAACATAAATGTATAAATATAAAAAATCTATATATATAGATATAAATATATCTATAAATAAGTCTAATATGAAATGTCCAAGACCTTTATGAAGTAATTAAAATGTTATGTAAGAATATAAAGCACTTTAACAAAATGAAACCTATCGTGATACTAGTGGGGAAATGAATTATAAAGTCTATTACTCTTAAATTAATGTATATACTAATGCTATTCCAATCAAAAGAGCTGTACAAATTTAGTGGAACTCAATAAACAGATTCTAAGATTCACCTGGAACAGAATATGCTCAAGAATAATGAAGAAGGAAATGAAGAAGGGAAAAAGGAAGAACTTACCTAAAGCAAAACATACTGCAAAGTTAAATGACACTGGAATAAAGAGTGTGGTTAGTTAGTTGAATGGGCATTTAGATCTATTATCCAGAAATAAACACCTTAGTATGTGATAAAACCTGGCATTTCAAATGGGTGGAGAAAGGAATAACAGTATTCAGCAGTAGTGAGGGCAACTGGCTTTTTGTTTTGGGAGGGACCCTAAAATATAAATAGTAAAACCAGATAAATAATGACATCAACAGGCAACATACAGTAGAAGATCTAATAATGGCCAATGAATATGGTTTTATAAGTAATCAGGGAAATTCAAATTAAAATAAGTTATTTTCAACCACAGAATTGGTTAAAAACAAAGAAACATCTCCAACGTTGATACTACCTGCTGTTGGCAAGGGTATGGAGAAATGGATCCTCTTACGGAGTGTGAATTGAAGGGAACAATTTCACTACATCCATTAAAATTAAAAATCTATTTAACTTAATACAGCAATTCCATAAAGGCAGAGCTGTAATTACAGGAATGAAGATGCCTTACATATGATGTTAAATGAAAAGAGAGTTGCAAGGTAATAAAGATGACATAATCCCATTTATGTAAATCACATATATGTATGATATAAAACAAAGCTAGCTTCTATAGTAATGTCTCCAAAGGACAATGATTTAAATAAGGCAGGAATTTATTTCACTCTTAAGTAACAGGTAAAAAAAGGAAAGCAGTTTAACACCTGCAGGTCATCTTCTCCATCCTGTTGATCCCATGTCACTGCTTAAACTCCACTGACATTCCAGTTGGTAAGAAAGGGCAATGATAAGAAGTGTTCACCCAATTCCTTTTTTAAGGGCCCAATCTGGAAGTTCTACCCACATCCCATTGCTCAAGCATGGGGCCACGATGACCTATAAGAAAGGCCAGGAGGTAGTTACATGTCCAGTTGGAACTCAGGGATCTCATCAGTAAAGAAGGGGAAAATGGGTATTATAGCATCAGACTCTCCATAGCATATATTTGTAAATTTCTGGTAAATAGCCTGGGAGAATATCTGGAACAGGAGCAAGAGTAATGGGCAGAGTATTGCCTGAGATTGTTTTTTAGTGATAGTATATTCATGTATTAACTAAGGAATTAAAGTTCACAAAATTTTACAATCCTTTATTTGTAGTTTGATACTAATATGTTAAATACATTAAATCTATACCTACATTGTACAAAGCTTTTGAAGTAAGAAAAATTAGACTTTATCTAAATGAATAAGTTACTCTACACTGTTAAAACCATTACACTTAGAGTACTTTCCTCTAAGTCTTTCCACCTGGGAGGCATAATGACAGCATTTACAGGTGTCCACACTGCGACCCATTCCAAGGTCACAGCGTGACAGAGGGCGAGCTGAGACAAGAACCAGGGCGAGGCCCACTTTGCTTTTACTTGCATCACAACTTTCAACAGCACTTTCTACTTGATGAGAAGGCTACCACCTCTCTAGCTCAGTATCACTGAGATTTCAGAACATACAGACCCGACACCCAAACACCTCACACTCGTGAACTGCATAAGCACTTCAATCTGAGAACAAGGGGTGGGCAATTTTCTTATTAGCTAATGATTACAAAAATACAAAAAAAGGATCTTCTCAGAAACACAAGTCATGAATTTTGACTCCCTTCTTAGCCAAGTACTCAAGTTTAGGATTTACTGACCTGTTTAGAAATTCCTGATTTCTTGATAATGATGGCAGATTGAGGAAAAATAATATAATCTTCCTCTTCAAATAAAAAAAAAAAAAAAAAAAAAAAAAAAACAGAAAAAGTGAATAAGCCAGAGTGCAACAAAGAAGCATAAAAACATTGCGGGAATCATGATTATGGCTACATATACCTCAGGACCAAGATTCTTGGTCAAAGCCATTTGACAAAATCTTAGGATGGAGAGAACAAAACCCAAATCCTCCAACCATTGCTGTGAGCTGCCCAGCAGAGGGGCTCCCCTGCCTGCCTCTGTGTTACAGGGAAGAGCACACAGATCCGGACACAGAGGCTCAATTGCTGTATGTGCACGATGGAAAGAAACGGCATGCGAAGAGGCAAGCATAAAACAGAAAAACGAAAGCAGAAAAAGAGCAAGCCGGAGAAAACAAGTGCAAGAAACAGATTGTACTGTGAAGGCCACGGAAGAAATGAAAGGAATACAATGAATTTGAAAAAACAAGGCTTGAGTGCCTAGATCATAAAATAACCCAAAAAAAGGAAACAAGAAAGGCTAAGAAAACAGAGGATCAGAACATAAGAGAACTAGAACTACAAAAACAACAGCCAGAAACAGATGGAGCTGAAAGCCAAACCTCTGAAAATGGAGAGTCGAATGCAAAGGAAAAAGAGAGATTAAAATAACAGGACAGAAACATAAAGAGAATAGTGATGCTCAATAGAATGTCATCAGCATCACTGGCAGAGACAATTCAATGAACAAAACAAAAGCTGTTCGAAGGTACTTCCCAGCCTGTAAACCTGAGCTGGCCTGGCGATTACCCTGGTTACCCTGTGGTAATGACAGCAGTTGTGGTCCGGACTTATGTTTGTGTGCATGTGTGTGCACTAGTTGTTTTATGTGTACTTAATGTGGGTTCTGCTTGAATTTTTTTTAATATAACACATTTCATTTTCCTAAGACAAACAGTCACTGTAAGGAGAGGGGGGGTGGGGGAGAAGACACCCTTTGCTTAATGTAAAGCCAGTGTAAACTGAGTCCACGACAGCTTCCTGCAAATACTAGTCTTACCACTTCTTACCAAGCTATTTCATATTTTACTAATAGAAATACCTGGCAACCTAACAGTACCTTAAAGGAAGATCATTTGAAAGCAATTATAAGATTTAAAAGATAATAAATTTGATCTTGGGGGGGTGCAAATGATAAACTTAAACACGTAAAAGCTATGCACCAAGAGTAATGCCATTATCAGATACTGAGGAACTTATTGAACAGGCCTGGTTCCATATAAAAATCATTTTTAGCACCAGTAAAAAGAATTCTTGAGACTTTTGTTGTACAAACTTCTAAACAACCGGTAATACGCTCCCTGACAGCATCTTTTGGGTAAAGAAACAAATGTAAAGGATTAAGTGTTCGGTCCCTGATTTTATAACATAATTCAAAGTACCAAAACAAAAACCAAACTCAAGTATTTCCTCCATGAGTTATTTAGAATTATTCAAAATTTTAAGTTTTAGAGAAGAATTTCTTCTTCTTTAAAGGTCTAGTGATGAGGTAGATAATTCAAAGTAAACACCTAGTGCAGCCAACTTCTGTTGGTAAACATATAGTCATTAGTCAGTATTAATAATCAGAACTTGCCACCAGAAAAAGTCAATTTAAAATTCACATTGATTAGCAGTATTCTGGCTTGAGTTTCCAAATTCCTGCACCACTAGAAGTTCTATGAAAAGTGCACAGATTTCTCAAGAGTTCTCGAAAGACACAAGACTGTGATGCCGATAACTTAGATTCGAACTCCTGCAGAATCTCCTGTGTGCTGGCCTGGCCGTCAACCTGAGCCTGAAAAGCAATGAAGTTCCTCATTTCCACCAGAAGGTCATCATGTTCTGTGGTGGCCATGGACGGCGGCGGGACCAAAGCCTCTTGAGGGTGCTCATTTTCACTTTCCAACCGTTCTGGCAAAATCAGATGGTTTCTAGCTCTCATTTTAGCCAACAGGGAGGATGAAGTGAGGGCTCCAGATGACGACTCTGCATTCTCCCCCTTTCCACTAAAATGTTCAAACACATTGTCTTTCCCATTCTTCTTCATGACGCCATCCTGGAGAAAGAAGACCATTGCAGTGACAGATTTAACTTCTGGTTTATGCTCGCCCTTACTTCCCCGAAGGCTGTGAGGGGATCATAGGATCACAGGTGTGCCCAGGGAGGTGAAGCAGATTGGGAAAGAGGAAGCTCTGTCTAGTGCAAAGGGAAAGGAGGAGGAGAGTCAAGCATCTAATAAACCCACCCACCATTAAAGAGCATTTTTTAAAAAAGAAGGTAAAGGAAAACTACACTATTCACTTCCTCCCCACCTCAGTGGTGAGAGAGGAGGAAGGGCAGAGTGGATGAAGAGGGGCTTTCAGACAAGCCTAGGAAGACTGCCTCTAAGGAGACATAGACCACTTTCAGGTCCTATGGGCTTTTCCTGTTCTTCTTTCCAAATTCACCTTAATCTAGGCACTGTGGGGTAGCAAACAGTATCATGTCATAGCTATACTACTGTCTTATGCTTTCCCACTTACTTCAGTTACTTTATTTTTTTTTAATTAATTAATTTATTTATACAAGCACTGGGTACAGTCAGAAGCGCAGGAGGGTGAGAGGATTCACCAGAGACAGCATGGGGAACAGAACAGGCAGACTGATGAAATACACTGCTGAGGGGAGCAGCAGGCACAGCAGGAGACGTCTGTCCCACCATGTGGGACCTTCACCCGGCAGCTGGGGATCAAACCGGCGCTGCAGAGGCTGCGGGCAGCTTCGCAGCCCAGCGCTCAACCACTGCGCCACCAGGGAAGGCTCTACTTCAGTTACTTTAAAACAACAATACAAATCTACTTTGAAAGGGTCTTACCCTAATGCTAAAAGAACATCCTTTACAAGGGAGGTCTAAATGTGTTGATATTAATCTTAAATAGGTCTGAACCTGGGAGTTTTCAAATTTATCATTAACATAACCCATAACAGGAGAATATCAAAGAGTACACTGAGTGGTAGTTTGGCCTAGCAGTTGTTTTCAGTGATGCAACGTATTCCAGGAGTTACTAAACAGGGGAGATGTCACAATGCTCTGGGTTAGTAAATTACAAACAACATATTCCAGGTGGTTTTCTAGACCTTTACTCTAGAGGACAGTGGTCTCTGGACCTGGCATGTCACTGCCAGGTGGGACAGAGATTCACACGTCACTTAGCCTTTTGGTAACTTTTAGAGGGAGAAACAGTGATTCCATTATCTATCTTGGGTTAAATACTCTGCCTTTTAGCTGGACTTTCTTAGATTCAACAAAAGTGCTTCATAAATAAAAGCATGTAACACAAACACTGGACATGACTAGGCAGTGCTTTTCTTCACATCTAGAATTGGGTAAAATTTTCACTGCAATCAATCAAGCAAGCCTTGCACATGAAAAGCAGGCAATCATATTACCTGGCACTTCTCCTTTGGAGACGCTGAAGAAGGATGCTGCACAGAGAAGCTGGAACTGGAATTCCTCTTCTGACCAAATCTTCTCCTAAATAAGAAGGATCATATTAGATCAAATGTTTGTTCTATGACTGAGAGCTGATTTATCTGCATGGTTACGCTTTCAGAGCCACAACACTTCTATTCTATTCCCTTTGATTCCTATACTTTAGTGTCCTCGGAAGTAATTGCTGCATACCGAATAAAAACCTCTCAACATCTTTGTTCAGCATATGATGAAAACTACCCTCATGTCCTAGCTAGGAAATGATTCTGAAGGAGCATATTGAATGACATTGTGAGTATTTATAGTTGAAAAGTATTTATAGTTGTAAGTATTTATAGTTGACTGTCTTATTAAAGCTTAATGATTATTCTTCATCTACTGCTGTTCTTAAGGCCTTTATCTCACAGACAAAACAGATCACATCCTCTCCCCTGAAAAATCAGCTTTGGGAAGCAGGGGAGGAACGTGAAGAAGAAGGAAGGTTACAAGGGTTACAAATGTGGCAGACATGATTCTTCACAATGAGAGATTTTCTATCACTGCAGATACACAGCAGTAAGTACCCCACCTGCCCTCACATAATTCCCAGCCTGGATGGTTTGGCATCCTCCCAAGTATTGCAGGGCAACAATTTCTTACTTGATTCCCGCTGGGGCACCAGAAATCCCTCTGTGGCCAGTCCAGGTGGGAACACCAGAGCCAGCTCCCAGACACCGCTGCCGAGAGAGCCTCAGTGCTTTCAGCGCATCCTGGGCTACTCGGTTGGCCTCTGCCTCCACTAGTGCATAATCAGGACTGGCCCCATCCATGATTGCATCGTGTTTCATGACACTGTGCACACCAACTGGAGACAACAAAGGAAACACAAATGTGACATTTCAGTTTGTACACACCATGGTTTGTTTTCTATAGTGTGTGCTTGTGGTGGAGGAAAAAATAATCAACTTTTTTCGCTGCTATTTACCAAGTCGCTTCTGTGACCCAAGAACTTCCAAATGCAGTTCCTGTTCACCTTCTTTACTACTTCAAGAGGCAGGGACTATTAACTCTCCCTGTTTTATAAAAACTAAAGCAAAATGCTTTAATCACCACAACATTAACATAACCTCTTCCCTAGTACCTAATAATTTTAAAACCTTTTATTCATAAACTCTTCATTTAAAATGTAAAAATGCAAATGAAATGTAAAAATATATATCAGAGATAACAGAATTTCTAAAAAGTAATTATGAAAACACTACATATAAGAATTTAATACAGTAGAAAATTTATAGTCTTAAAAATTTACATCAATAAAAATGAAAGAAAAAAATAAATGAATTAAATTTCCAAGTCAAAATATTCTACAAGAATTACAACAAAAGGACCTCCCTGGTGGTGCAAGGGGTTAAGACACAACCTATGAAGCTGTCCGCAGCTTCTGCAGCATGAGTTCGATCCCCCGGCTGGCCAGGGAGCTACCCATATGGTGCAGCAGATCTCTCCTGACTTACCCGCTGTTCACCTCAGCAGCATACTTCAGTCAATCTGCCTGTTCTGTTGCCCACTCTGTCTCTGGTGAATCCTCTCACCCCCAACCCTGTATCTCTGGCCTGTACCCCAGCTCTTGTATGCATAAATAAATACATCTTTAAAAAAAAAAAAAGAATTACACTAAAAAAGCTGAAAACTTGATGGTGGTGGTGATGTGGGAAAATACACGTGAGGGGTGAACTTATTCCCCTAAATCACGTACCATATTGTAAACCAATGTTACAATTTAAAAAATAAGAAGCAGCAACCAAAAAAACCACACCTAAATATAACATCAAATACAAAAAAAAAACAAACAAAAAAAAAAAAAAAAAACAAAGAAGAAAGTAATAAAGCTAAAAAGAAATATGAGAAAGACTGAGAACAACCATGGATCAAATTAATAAATTAAAAATACTGGTTTATTAAAAAAAAATCACAAAAACAGATAAACTACTAGCTTAATCAATGAAAGGGGGGGAAGATATACATACAATCAGAAATGACAAAAGGGAAATTATCTTGAAACAAGTAAATTAAGAAAACTATTACAAGAATATTTTTCTATATCTCTACGCATATAACTTTGAAAACCAGACAAAATAGGTAATTCTTTTGGAAAACAGACCAACGCTGGAGACAAAATAAGTTATCAATGAACTGACTACCTTACAAAAAGCATCAGGCCCAGATGGCTGCATTCTTTTTTTTTTTTTTTTAAAGAGGCATATATATTTTTTATTTATTTATTTGTTTGTACATGCACTGGGTACAGTCAGAAGCGCGGGAGGGTAAGAGAATTCACCAGAGCCAGAGCAGGCAGAAGGACCAAAGTACACTGCTGAGGGGAGGCAGGAGAGGTCTGCGCGCCATGTGGGATCCTCCTCTGGTGGCCCGGGAGCAGCCGGGGATCGAACCGGCGCCGCAGAGGCCACGGGCAGCTTCGCAGCTTCGCAACCCAGCGCTCAACTGCTGCGCCACCGGAGAGGCCCCAAGATGGCTGCATTCTGAAACGCTATTCATAAATCTGTCTCCTTGAACAAAGAACCACAAATAGCAATCTTGGGCAATTCAAGGCCATCACACTGTGACAATGACTACCCAGGTCTGACCAAGATGACACTCCCAGGATGACTAAACTGTGCAGACTGCCTAGCCTCCATGGTCAAGCCACTGTTGATTCTGTTTTCCCGACTTCTCCCTTGATGTATTAGCAATTGCTCTCCTACTTCTGGAATTACTGCCTCGAGTCATGCCTCTGCCTTTCTCCCCCATGACATGCTACTTTAATTTCTTGTGGCTGGAAAATAAGACAGATACAGCATATAACATTCTATTAATGTTCAGGTAGTGCAAATGTATTTAAAGCATCACACCTATGTGTGGTTATAAGTCAAGTACTATCATTCTCCAAAGTTTTCAATTCTTCTAGGTCTTCAGAAAAGAGATGAATGTGATTTTCAAAATGTCAATACATTTCCAATGTGAATTTTAGAAGAAATAAATACTTTCAGTTGAGAGCCCACTCTGCATGGGCAGTTAAAGGCTGGTCCTGCTACAAGCCACCTCTACAGGCTGTGTTCCTAGCATGCCTGTGACAAATTCAGCAAAAGGATTACCTGATTTTTTGAAAAGCTTTTCCAAAACGTAATCATCATTGCTGCGTTCCTTGGTCTCTTTCTCATTTTCATGCTCTTGCTTCTGGTATTGCCTTTTCTTCACTAAGTGTGGAATCCGAGTCCCTTCAAACTTGGCATCTCTGCGATGCTTCTTCGGCTTTTGCTTTGGCCTCAGAGGTTTCTTCAGGGTCTCTTCTTCTGCCATACTATGTTTTGTTTTTGACTTGTGCTTATAAAAATTATTTCCCATTTGTTCCTTCTCCGAAAAATGTTCTGTTTGAATCTTGCAGCTTTCTGCTCTATCAGAAAGACCCTGCTTCTCATCAATGCTTTTCTCAACAGCAGTCCTGCCGACGCTTGGGGAATTTGAACATTCCCCACTTCCACTAATCACTGATGACTCCTCCAGTCCCAACACTGCCTTTTTCTCTTCAAGTCCATCACTGCTAGTTAGACTGCTAGCTGTTTGAGGAGTGTCTTTCAAAGGATCACCCTGATTAGAAGTTACTGCATTTGTTTCAGCTCTGGTACCTGTAGATTTCTCCTCAGATGATGTGGCATCATTTGCAGGTACACTAGGATCAGGAAACTTTTGGCATACTGAGACGTTATGGTCTGCTTCAAAGGTTGCTTGAAGTTTTCTTTTTAAATGGCGTTTGGGTGCCTGAACATCTGAGCCAGTTCCTGCAAAGGGGGGAAACACATTAATAACAAATTGCATAATTCTTACATAATGTATTACTTTAAGTTCAATTATTTTATGTAATACCTGCAAAAATAGCACTTGTTTCAGTGCTCTGGGATGCATCAGGACTAGTCAGAGTAAACAGTTCATAAAGATCATTGGACTTGAAAAATCGCCGCTGCTTTGGATCTTTTAGCACTCTGTTTGTCAAAAACTGTTTGAAGATTTGTCTAAAAAGATAAAAATCAAAGCAGTATGAAACAATGTTTAGGTCTACCTCAACATTCTAATCAAAAAACAACATAAGAGAGATGATAACTGTATGAATAGCACAATAATCCCCAACACTTTTTGCCTTGGAAAATTATAATTCAAAAATTGTACATGAAACATCAGGTGGTCACCCATTTTTTACAGCATATTCATGCCCAAAAGAACACTTTAGGTGTCTAAAATTCATCACATTTCCAGAAACACCTACTCATACAAATTCATGTGACTCACAGCTTCACTTGAGCTGGAAGGAGTCAGTTTCCCTGATTCCTGGACCAAGGATCTCCTATCCTCCCCTACTCAGGACCCTCTGCTGATGGCTCAGGAAACTCTTACCAGGGTATGTTTGCTGTTGGAGCATCTTATCCAGTTTCCACCTGCTGATCCACAAATATCTAAGCTAAAACTTCACGCCATCGTCTCTTGTCCAGCTATCTCCACAAAGTGATCCCGTCCTTCTCACTCATTTGTTGTTCAAGCTAAGGTGTATATCTCTAAGAGGAGGCTCTTCCTCATAAGATTCAACTCGTGTCCTGCTCTCTGCCATAAGGCTCATGAAGAACATGTGCCATTCCAGTGGCCTAGTGCCTGAGGAAAGCAGAGAATCTCCCTTTGGGAGCTGGGGTGAGGCTCAAGAATAAAATCTCCTCCAATAAGACATTGTCAGGAGCAACTAGCAGTATCTCCACTCTACTGCTAAGTTACCTTTTCTAAAAGCCTCTAGTCGATACAGAGACAGATGAAGGAAGAAGCAGGTGTCTTGGTGAAATTCTCTGTGAGGAGCATCTGAACTAAAGACCAGAAGGAGTGTCTCCTCCCACCCTTCCCAAACCCCATCACACCTGCATGGCATGTGTAAATACTAGGATGTTAGCCTTTCAACTTTGTCACTTAAAAAAAAAAAAAAAAAAAACTCCAAAGAAAGTAGGAACATTTCTCTCAAGTACAATCAATATGAAGTTTATATACAAGCAGTGCTTGAAGTTTAATAAGGTAGAAACATGATCGGGTACAAAGACATTGTTTTTAAACACAATACGCTATTTAAGCTTATTTTAATGAGAAAGGAAAAATACAAAAACTAATTTTAAAAAGCCACATACCCCTCAAGTGATAGCTACTACTGCTCTAATGTGGACAGACTTTTTAAAGCAATACTATTCAGAAACCCCTGCTTGAAATCCTGGCAGCAAACTCCTACATCCCGCACACACCACCCAGGCCGCAGTTGCCATCAAGCAGCAGTGGCCTCATATACTGACCGGTGGTAAATCTTCTCCTCAATGGTGCCTGCAGTCAGAAGCCTGTACACCGTCACCTGCTTCTTCTGGCCTATCCGCCATGCTCGCTCCCGGGCCTAGGGCAGAGAGACGCACCTCAACAAGGGCCTTTTCCAATAACAAGCTCTAACTAAAAGAAAAAAAGATAGCTGGTTGCTTCCTTCCACTCTCAAATTTAGCATTTTGGCTAATGAGCCAAACTTCTCGTAAGGGAGGTAAGCAGCCAGAGGACAAAAACAGACCCAGACATCTCTATCTAAAAAACAATGAGTGCCTGACTTTGCAAATTCTCTTTTTACTTCAGATCTAGCGACCAGGCAGCTATGGATAAACTATTGATGACTGGTCCTATCTGGTGACTCTGGAAGGTGTTCTCCTCCATGCTGAAGTCTAGGCACCAATCAAGATGAGAACTAGATGCCAAAGCTAATACAAACACAGAAAAACACCTCAAATGTCAGCCACTAAACTATTTTACCAATACACTTCTTTTGAAAATAAACACACCTGCGTGTCTGTGCTTGGATTCCAGTCAGGGTCGTAGATGATGACTCTGTTGGCCCCTGTCAGGTTGACTCCTATGCCACCAACTCGAGTGGTGAGAAGAAACACAAATACGGACGCGTCCTGGAGGCGAGACATGCAGCACTCAGTATGCACACTTAAGATAGATCTTCAGCCCTGCCTTTATATAGTCTACATGTGGAAAGCTGATGCCAATATAAGAAATGGGCTGTGTCTAGAGACCTTTGGTCATTCAAGATCTATCTCATAGTGCTTGCTTTTAAAATCAATTATGTTAGCAATATTCAAAAGTTGAGTCTTCAAGATGGAACGCACATTCTTTGTTCAAATACATCCCCCCAAACCCAGAAATGGAGAGAATTACAAACAAAAAGTACTCCATTCCCCCTGACAGCCCCCGCCCCGACCCTGGAGCACTGAGGTGGGGTGGCCTGCTGCTCCCTCTCTGCACACAGTACCGCTCTAGTTGGCTTTACTGTTACATTCACTTGTTACCTCATTATATCTTGTAATCAGTGGTTGTCTTGAGGCTATTGTAGTGGTACCATCCATCTTGAGATAGGAATACTTTTGGGCTCTAAGGAATACTTCAAGTATGTCCAACATCTGTTTGGGAGAGGGGATGATAAAAGTTTAAAAAGCAAACATACACCGCAACAAGTGCTTCTGTGTTTGTGTAAACAGTCACACTTTCTCCAAAAGGCTTAAATTAAAAGGGGTTTCTTGCTCTGAGGCAGATAAATATAATTACTGCAAGAGTATTTTTGGTATCTCCCTACCATTAATGCTTATACACTTTGAAGAGAGCTGGGAAGTCATTTGAGGTCGTGTGCAAACTTGCCCACACTCCAAAGTCACATGGTAGTAAGCCTCTTTAGAAAGTCAACTCTTAGAGAAAGATCCAAATTCCCAAAGAATTTGCAGGTTGCCTCCTCAATATCAGCAATGGTTGAAATCATTATTTTAGACTATTTCCCATCTTTTAAATTAATGGCTATAAACCCTAAAGAACCAACCTGTTTCTTGTATGAGGTCTGTATACTCACCTGTCTTGACTGGGAAAAGAGCAATACTCGTTGACCTTGCTTGTGCCAGATTTTCAACAAGGACTCAACGACTATCATTTTCCCAGAACGTTTCCAGTATCCGAACTGATCTTCCTCTATTTCATCCTCTGGAATACCTTTGATATTCTTGGGGCCTCCAGAAAAGAGGTCAGGATGGTTGCAGATTTTTCTTAGGGCTACAAGTCCAGAGAAAATCTATGGCATAAAGGAATCATGGGCACTCAGGTTACCCCATGTAAAATAATACTCATTCAGGAAGTAAGTGAAGGAGGCAAATATACAACACAGATTACAAAGTAATTTTTCACCAGCTTCTTAGCTTCCTCCCTAATCACAGCATACTAGGAGTGAGAAGAAATTAACGTTCACTCATCTTCTTTTTCTGATAGGGCAAGTTCTCTAGTATTATAAATTTGATATAAGAAACTAACTTACCTTGTAAATATAAAATAAAAAATGGCACATTCACATAAATTTGGAGAAATCAGTTGTCTCAACAGATAGATTTAATCCAATATTTTACTTCTAAGCACAACTCCCTAATATCCTGTAGTTTGATGTGAGCCAGAGGTTGAAGTTACCTTTACAATAGTATCGCATTAGAAAATACATAGGTATAGAAAATATAACAGAGGAAATATAAAGCATGCTCACACAACAGGTCATAGGAGACCAAGGGTGAGAGCCTGCCCTTCCTGTCTCGGCAGGAGGGCATCTTTCTTAGCTTTCAGAGTGTGACTCATATCAAGCTCACCAGTAAAAAGCTCATGCAGAAAAAGATAAATAAGTCAAGAATAAGTGGTGGTTTTAACTAGTAAATAAGAGTTAAACAAACAATAAAAGATGTAAGTAAATCAGGAATATTGTCAAAACTGTCCAAAGAGTCACCTGTGACTCTTTTTCTTTCTCTAAACCTGTGCTGTCCAACAGAGCAGTGACAAGACACAAGAAGCTACTGAGGGCCTCCCCGGTGGCACAGCGGTTGAGCGCTCGGTTGCGAAGCTGCCCGCGGCCTCTGCGGCGCCGGTTCGATCCCCGGCTGCTCCCCGGCCACCGGAGGAGGGTCCCACATGGCGCGCAGACCTCTCCTGCCGCCCGCTGCTCCCCTCAGCAGTGTACTTCGGTCCTTCTGCCTGCTCTGCTCCCTGCTCTGGCTCTGGTGAATTCTCTCACCCTCCCGCGCTTCTGACTGTACCCAGTGCATGTATAAACAAAACAAACAAACAAATAAATAAATAAAAACATGCCTCTATTAAAAAAAAAAAAAAAAAAGAGGCTACTGAGCATAAGAAGCACAGCTGGTCCAAATGCACTGTAATGCGCTGAAATGCACTGTAGCATAAAACCCTGATTTTGAAGACTTGACACAGAAAAAGAGAAAAGTATCTTAATAACTTAAAAATTTTAATTACATATTAAATTTACATTGTTTACATGAGGTTTTTAGATAAAGGTTTACAATATGGCTGGTTATAAACCTGCCACCTATGCTTACTGAACATTTACCCATGTATATTACTGGGCACTGCCAATAATTAAAATGTTATTACTTATAGAAGCATGTATAATAACAATTCTTCCTCCCTGCATTTGCTATTCCTAGCATGTAAGGTGCTTTCCTACATTCTGCACCTGATCAGCAGCCCATAGAACTCAATGTCTAATGCGATCTTCTCCCACTAGACGGTGATGTGTTCAAGTGTTACAGAGCTGCAGTGCAGACAAAAGCGGGCATGCTGAAATTTAACCATGTGTCCTTTTACTTCTGGAAGGTCTTCAAATTAAGTTAAAGTTCACACCAAAAAGCTTTCAAGAGGAAAATGCAAGTTTCCTCACTAGTGCAGTTTCCTTTCATCCCCCACTTCCCTTGGCCCACAATACACTTCTCTAGCTTCTGTTATTTAGCTGACCTGAATGTCTCCATTGAGAATTCCATAAACTTCTTTGGAATCAATGAAATTTTGGTAGACTTCATGTTGCTCATCTGTAAGACGGCAAAACAAGACCTATGGGGAGAAAAAAAGAGAAACTATCATCTAAACAAAATATTTACAGACTAAAATAATTGAAATATCAATATATCTTCTTAATAGAAAAAAGCATGATGTATGCAATTATTACAGTGCACCTCTTATCTAAAAACAAAATGACGCCACATCTCAGTGATGCACAGAGCACAGCCCACTCCTCTCATCAGCACCCTCCACTATGTCACCTCTTGGGCCCCAACTCATGGTCGCCACAGGCCCTGAAGATGGGCTTCTGCTCTCAGGAAACTTCAGGGTGAGGTGCACTGACCTTCCATCCTAGCCTCATGCCCTTTAGCCCATTTCAGCAAACCTCACGAGGCACCTAAGCCTCATGTGGTATGTCCCCCTTCCTGAAGATTCTAAGTGCAGGGTCACAAGTTTACCATACACATCAACAACTCCAACTCTCCCAGCCCAACGCACCAATTACTCCATGCTACTATGACCCCTGAGTTTCTCTCAACCCTCCTCTTTCTCCAAGTTCATTACTGAGACCTCATGGTGACTGATTCCCGAGCCAGTCATATTCCCAGGATAGTTCCTTCATTCACCCCTCTGCTTCCCACTGTATCTACCCTGTAAACCTCCAAATGTAGATAAATGCAGCCACCTGCTTCTACTCCTTATGCTGCTGGAGAAAGGCACCAGCTGGGCAGGATCCCTCTGCTGCCTGTCCTCATCACCAGGGAATCTGCACTCCCTGCTTAGCTCTGCAAATCCAGAAAAGCTCACTCACCCAATACTCCTTTATCTTCTAAGACTTTGTCTCAACTTCTACTTAAACACAATTGGACAAAATAAAACAACAAAAAATAAAAACTGAAGCTATTAGGAATGATTACCTAGCTTCCACTTCCTAATATTTATCCATTTCTTCTCGCACCTCACATATTTCCCCTTATCCTCAGAGGAATAGGCTCCTCTTGGCATGTGCACTAGATCTGAAAATCCACTGTCTTCAAGGACAGTGTTCTACCCCTCAGAATGCAAAACTTAAAGGGGAAAACTCCCTGAAAGGCTTTTGTACAAACACCAACTTCACTTCCTCACCTTCCAGTCACTCCTAAACTCGGCAGACACCTAGAGGGCACTTCTGCTGATGCCACTCAAACCTGGCAGGCAAAGTCAATGATGACTTCCTAGCTGTCAAACACGCAGGGTGCCTAAGGCCTCCATGACTCCACTTCTCCATGACTCCACTTCCCTACTCCTGTTTCCTTCATTGCTGTCAGGTACATGGTCTGTACCCAGTTATGAATTGTAGCAGAAATGAACTGGGGGCTTGAAGGAAATGAAGACATTTACAAAGAGTAGTTGTAAGAACCCTGCATCAAAATGAGAGCTCAAAGCCTACAGACTAGAGGAAAAGTACTGCTGAGGGCAGATTCCAGGGTGTCTCACCTATCACACGCAGGTGTACACAGATGCCCACCAGTCTAGACCCTGCACCAGCAACCTCACCCTTCAGTCTAGTCAACTCTGCATGCGAAAAGCAGAGAAAATAGACAGATACACTATGCTTTTGGAATGTTTTGGTTACTCCTGGATTTACAATACCTGTTCATTTTTATCAGGCAAAGAAAGGCTCATTTTGACATCTGACTTCATTCTGCGCAGCAGGTATGGATTTATGGTATCTCGCAAGACACATGCACACTTATAAGCAGTTTTAACCTTTAATAAGAGACAAAAGGAAACAATTACTAAATGTCTATGAAATACATTTGTTGTTACCTCTCTATTACCAAAAAAAAAAAAAAAAAAAAAAGGGAAAGACCAATGGTTGGACACTAGTTGGAAATGGTTGAACAACGGCTCAGAAAAATTAGTGTCAGTTTCATATACCTCGGGAGATGGCAGCTTTCATAATCTCATCAGTGGGAAAGCCGATCTCCTTAACCAAAATGTACAACAAAAGAACTGATAATTTTGTGCCTTATTCCTCTTCTATACTTTAATTATTATTACATAGTTAAATGCTAAATTAGAGATTTATTCAGTTCTCAAGCACCCTCTAGGGAAAAAACTGCTTTCAAATGAATTTCTGTTTATAACCTTGTATTCACCCAAAGCTACAAAGGAACAGCTACTCTGCAAGACTGAAGATCAAAAGCTAACTCTGGGGGAAAACTGCAGCAATGGGAGCAACCAGATAATAAGCAGAGATTACTGCCCACTGGAGACTCAGAAGAGAAAGTTCAAGAAAAGCCCTATGATCCCAGAAATGAAAGGTCACTCTAGCCTAAAATGCAGCATATGGTTCTGTAATGGAGCACAGCCACATGAGATGGGTATTAACTGTACAAAGAAAAACAAAGACCCACAGTTCAGGAAACCACTCCCTTTGCAGTTCACTTAAAGGCAAACAAAGAATTCAATAAATTATTGATACTTAAAAAAAAAAAAATCTAAACAGGCTTAACAAGCTAGTAAATTACTATTTAATGGAATAAGAAAAATTCCAAAATTCAAATTTTAAAAAATTGGCTGTAAAATGAATTAACAATGATATCAATAATAATTAAGGGCTTGACCATAATACAGAAAAATTCATGATAAAAAAATTAGCATGGCAAAAAAGGAAAACACGTTGCAAGACCATAAAAAAAAACTCACACAAGTATGAGATATGTATATGCATGTAAGTATATGTGTTTATACTTATGTGTGTGCATAATATAAAAAATAGGTTTTACATGGCATAGCAGATAACAAAGATGTTCAACTAATCAGGAACTGAGTTACAGGTAACCCTGTAAAGCATTCAGACATTGATAACAAATTACCTTTAAGAGATGGTCAGGTATATTTTATGGTTTGTAATGCAGAGATGATTAAATTTCTGAATTTAAAAACATTGAGGTCTCACCAAGGAAGCAAGCACATCATTTAAATTCTTCCTAAAAATATATAAGGAAACTATGCCCACATCCTCACCTCTACCCACATTTTTTCTGATCCAGAAAAATGAGCTGGTTGGTGATGCTGGAAAACCAGGGCTGGCCTGGTGAGTAGCCTTGCTACCCATCCAGAGAGTGTCTCTCCCTGCAGCCCCAACAATGCTCCTGGCCCAGTTCAGTGAACTCACAAGGGTCAGAGCCCAGAGAGGCTAACAACAGGTCTGGTTTTCAAAGCCAATTCTCCCCAGAGAAAGATCTTAAGTTCTAGAGTGGAATGTGAATGGGACAGCAGGGGAGAGTAAGAAACTCTATTTCAGCCTTGACATCAAGCCACATTCTCCCATCCAACTTTCTTAGGGAATCCTGTGCTTGAGGTAATAAAATTGACTCTATATTTAATTCCCATCTACCTCTCAAGTCTGTTTCTCTGTGAGTAAAAACAACTGGGGATCCAACTCTATTTCTCTCTATCACTCCCAGCTCCCCAATATAGTGGAAAATGGATACCTAACTGAGCATGCCCATGTTTCCTTCCCATTCCTGACATGGTAAGGTGGTAATTACATCCTCATTCTGTCTTTTCCAGAGCTGAGTGACCTTAGGGAAGTAGCAAATAATGCAAGGAAAGTGCTGAGAGCCAATAACCTTGAGTTATCCAGGAGGTTCAACTACAACAAATGACTCCTCAGGTTCTTTTCAGTACTAAAAGCCCCTGCACAAGTTTAATGCAGAGATCCAAGAAACACTCCACATTTTGGGTCAGTTAATGCTCTGCTCCCTCACTCTTCTAGGTCTCAGCAGAGTCATATTACCCCTAGCAAGCTTTTCTTACCCCTAGCAAGAGCTCTCCCACAAGCTCTGCTATTGGCGATCAACCCTGCTCATAAACCTGCAGTCATCTGTTTTTTTAATCACACTTCCCACTGGACTGGGAATACTATTCAAGGGAAGGTTCTGGTTGCCAGCTACCTCCCACCACATTGGTCCCAGCCTGACACAATATGTATGTGCCCATAGACCATCTTCTTGGGATTCAATAAGCCTGGCAAACATGGACTTAAACAAAAGAGAGCAAATAACAGCAATACCTCTATGCCAATGACCTTATACTATAAAAAATAAAAAGATAAGCGCACAACTCCTAAAAAAAGGGCTTCAAGGAGAAAACTGACCATACTTATGTGATCTGAAGGGATCTTCCCACCAATGACTGATTAATTGTAAAAGAAAAGTAGTAACTTTGAAGAGTTCAGAAATCTGGCAAATACCACCCTACACACATAATCACATACCTCGCCAATGAAAAGAATAAACCAACAGTACATGCTTCCAGGTGTTGAGCATTGAAAGACATGCCACTTCTGTGATATTCTTGCCCAATATGCATAAGCTGAATGCAATCACAACACTAAAACACAAACCCAAGTGGGGCAACACTCTACAAAATAACCAGGTTTGTACTCTTCAAAAATGTCAAGGTCACGAATGTGTTATAATTAACTTTTTGTAAGGGCTCTCCTCCTCCACTAAATCCCTTTACATCTTTTGCATGTGTGAAAAATCATTTTGGAAATTTGCAAGAACGATTTTTAAAAAACTCCCTTATACTCTTCACCTAGATTCACCCAATGCTAGAGCTTTGCCAACACTTGTTTTATCTTTCCTTTCCTCTCTCAACTTCGTATATGTACATAAATTTATACCACTGTTTTTCTGAGTTATCTAAGAACAAGTTGCAGACACAATTCCCCTTTCCTCCAAATTCTTCAGTGTGTTTTTCTTAAAAGAACCAGGACATTCTCTTAGGTAATCTCAACATCAACATCAAAATCAGGAGGAAACGGGGCCTCCCCGGTGGCGCAGCGGTTGTGCGCTGGGTTGCGAAGCTACCCGCGGCCTCTGCGGCGCCGGTTCGTTCCCCGGCTGCTCCCCGGCCACCGGAGAAGGGTCCCACATGGCGCGCAGATCTCTCCTGCCGCCCGCTGCTCCCCTCAGCAGTGTACTTCGGTCCTTCTGCCTGCTCTGCTCCCTGCTCTGGCTCTGGTGAATTCTCTCACCCTCCCGCGCTTCTGACTGTACCCAGTGCATGTATAAACAAAACAAACAAACAAATAAATAAATCATAAATAAAAATACATGCCTCTTTAAAAAAAAAATAAAAAAAAAAAATCAGGAGGAAACGTAACACTGATATATTTCCTCTTCATCCACAGTCACCCAAGGCAGCTGCATCAATACCGCCATCCTAACCTACAATGGCCTTGCTCTTCTCAGTTATATTTTCCCAGAATCAGGTAATGGGAACCATGTCTCACTGTCTTCCTTGAATGAGTCAATCCTTTCTGGTTTCCCCTTTCCTCAGCTTTTACACTAGTTTTAAGAAGTCCTCTTCCAACTTACACTGAATTATGTGCTATCCAGAACTGACACATACTGGTTTCATAATTTCTGATTGTTCTTGAATATTTTACATGATTTTTAAAATATAGCCAGCAAAAATAATTCTGTGATTTTTATCAGAGACCAATTTATAAGCTTGGCCTTTTCCTTCCAAGTCATTATGAATGAGTTGGCTACAAAGTAGAGTATCTGGTAAAAACATTTTAAATATTAAAATGCCAAAAGTGTTACCTGTACTGGAGAAGCATTTGAATATCCCCCCATAGTAATGGGGACCGAGAACTGCTCCATAAACACAGGCAACGTGCCCAACTTTCCTGGGAAGATAAAGTCGAAGAGCGACCACAGCTCACGGAGGTTATTCTGCATTGGTGAGCCAGACAAGATGATGCGATGAGGGGTGCGGAACTATTTGAAAAGAAGATATCTTTTTTCAAATTTACATATTAACGGATGATTACCAACTCTACTCCAAAACACTCCCACATTATTTTGTTACTTAATGCATTTATGTATCATTTTAGTCTTCCAAAAGTGGATATTATATGCAATTTTAGTTCTTCATATCTATATATAGATTAAGAAAGATAGGGAAGAATTTTTCCTTATCATTCAAGCGAAATACTATGGATTCGAGTTGGATTTGGTTACACTCTAATAACTGATTCCTACAAGAGACATTATATAACATGCACAATTAGAATCACAAAACAGCAACAACAAACACAATTAAGAGCAAGAACAAAGAATTTTCAGCATTAAATTAGGCAAAATGTGTATTTCAATGCAAAGAGGCAAGAAAACATTCAATATGGATGTCACTAGAATCAAAGCATTTACTCTCAAATACTATTATCCACCTGAAAATCCTCTTTGTTATAAGACACCATACCTGTTTGCAAGCAAGGGTGATGGCAGCATTGGGATTTCTAATTTTGTGTCCTTCATCCAAGATCACATAGTGCCAGTCATGCCTGCTCATGTCATCTTGCATCAGTCGAATGTAGGAGTAAGAAGTGATCAAAATTCCATGACAAAGAGCAATATCTCGAATTAATTTCTCCTAAAATGATGATAAAATGGTAAAGGACTTTTATATAAAAGGTTAAATGAGTATGACTCAAAGTGACAACTTTTCAATCACGATGCAATCTGAAGCACTTTATAAACATGCACACGAACATAACACATACAATTACATCTATTTTCAGCACTGAAGTTTATGTTTCATTAATCTGTAAGAACTAAACAATGACTAACATAGCCACTATTAAGGGAGGGAAAGGAGGCTCAAAATTAGAGCAGAAAAAGTTGTAACATGTGAACACTAATTTTATTTTTCCAAAACACTGTCTTGTCAATCCTTAAAACATCAAGGTAGAAAGAAAATAATTACTTTGAAACAAGCTAGAAAATGAGAGGAGAGCCAAGAAGGCAAAAAGACAAATCTAAAAGCTTTATAATGTAGATCATGAATTTCAGGAGGATAGATTAAAAAGCATATAAAAGCAATTTTTTTTTTAAATTCTGAGGAGAAATTAGAGTGTAGAGCAAAACATCCTATGATGTAAGACAGAAACACTGAGAAAAACATATACCTAGGCATGTATCTGCTAGATGTCTGAATTCCAAAACAGAGAATGTGTTGTAGCTTCTAGTCAGAACAAAACAGAAAAAGAAAGAAGTTCCTTCACTCTGCATGGAAGAGACATCTTTTCTGTAACACTCAAAATGTTAGACGAAAGGACAATCTTTCCATAATTCTTTTTTTTTTTTTTAATTTTATTTATTTATTCATTCATTCGTTTGTTTGTTTATTTATTTATTTATTTATGCAAGCACTGGGTACAGTCAGAAGTGCGGGAGGGTGAGAGAATTCACCAGAGCCAGAGCGGGGAGCAGAGCAGGCAGAAGGACCGAAGTACACTGCTGAGGGGAGCAGCGGGCGGCAGGAGAGGTCTGCGCGCCATGTGGGACCCTCCTCTGGTGGCCGGGGAGCAGCCGGGGATTGAACTGGCGCCGCAGAGGCCGCGGGCAGCTTTGCAACCCAGCGCTCAACCGCTGCGCCACCGGGGAGGCCCTCTTTCCATAATTCTAAAGGGAAAGTGGTGATAACTGCACTGATCCAAATTGGCAGTCATGCTTGACAAAAAGAAATAAATCCCACCTTCAGACAGATAAAAGACAGAATATAAACTAGCAAAAGAGGGGCATACTGCATTGAGCCAGTTTAGGGGTACAGTTATTAGGAGAATTTGGTTCCTCAGTAGAAAGTGTGCCTGGGATGCTGATGGCAGAAGAGTAGACAGGAGAGCTTCTGACCCCCAAATGCTCATCACAGATTTAGTTCCCACAGCAACTCTCTGAGAGAGGACAGATGTCCTATTGTAAACCCCCATTTTACGGAGGAGAAAACCAAGGCTTAGAGATAGTAATATACCAGGCCACACAGCTGGTAAGTGGTGGAGTCAGGGTTTGAATATAGAAAGACAGCTAACTCTAAAGCTAGTATTAACTAAATATGGAATACTGCCTCAGATGTGACTATAAAATTAAAGGGAAAATTATATGTAATATACACAACAGTACTTAAGTTGTTAATAGGCAAATATTAAACCATTGTTTCAAATACTAATGAAACTATTAAGAAATGATCAAAAATATAAAAAGAGATATATTTTTAAGCATTACTATAATTCTGATTTAGTTTAATATAACCTAGGGTGAGATGGGGGAAAATAAAAGTCCCATCCCATCAAAGGATAGAATGGGGCAAAGGTGACAGACATTGCTTAATTCTTAGTCACAAGAGAGAAACAGATTGAAATACATTTGTAACAAATTAAAACATTTAATTTAAAACATTTAATGATAATTAGTTGCTATTTCAGCATAAATATTAAAAAGAATAGATGGTAAACCTATGAGAACACTGTATGGGGGAAAGTACCCAAAAAAAAATCAGGAAAATTGAAAATACAATAAACATAAAATAGGCTAGCTGGGTTCAGATGAAACATACCAGGGGTCTCCACAATGACAGCAAGTAACTAGCAGCAAGATTTTTCACTGGCTAAGTATAGTACCTCATGTTTAAAAGAGACCCAAATCTCATGTTTAAAAGTTGAAAAAAATGGAAATTATCAAACATATACCGAGGAGATACAAACAAAAACAGGACAAGATTAGCAAAATAAGTATCAGATTAAAAAAGAACCGAACAATTAAAAGAGGGGTGTTTAATGTTTTAAAGGAGACAGCACAACAGGAAGATCTTGAACCTTAAGGAAAAGCACTGGAATGTCCCTAGAGCTGTGTTGACAAAGTGGCATATCCACAGCCTGCAGGGGACCTGACTAGAACCTCTCAAAGTTTGCCAGATCGGAAGAGAGAAACCATGATTAGAGAAAACAAAACTAAAATTTGGCTACAAAGGATCTGGGTATTGCTGTTGGTTAGTGGGCTCTTTGTAACAGCTACCAGCAGAGCTTTAGATTACACCAAAAAATACTCATTCTTTAAGTTCTATTAAGAAAGACTGACATCAAGTGAAGTAGTCACTGCTACAAAAAGGGAAAATGAGCGTATTAATAAAACAAAAACAATGATTAATGAATCTTAAAAAAAAAAAAAACAAAACCTGGAAGAATTGATAAAGTCAAAAACTAAAAACTCTTTGAATAGACCAAACAAAACTGATGAGTCTGCAAAGTCAGCCCAAAAACAAGCTCAGAGGAGCGGCAAAACCAACACCAGGAGTGCAAGTGCCAACCACATGCAATCTAATGTCACAAAATCTAACATTTGATTGTTTAAAAAAAAAAAAAATCACCAAAATACAATTACAGAAAATGAGACAGTGTTTAAAACAATACTGAAGAACATGGTCTTCCCACCCAAAAGTCTTTCAGACCCAAGGGTTTTAGGAATGAATCCAGAGCCAATCCTATTTAATCTGTTCCAAAATCCAGAAAAAGACAGAAGGCATTCTCGATCTTGGTGCAGTAATTTATAAATAATATTGAGCAATATACTGACCTAGGAGGGCTTATTACAGGAATATAAAAATAGCCAGATATTAACAAACATAACGCAACAATTCATGTGTAATAATGGTACAAATTTTATAAAATTCAACATGGCCAAAAATATTCTTAATAAACAAGGATTAGACTATTTTTTCATTCTCTAAGATATAAAAGGGTAGAACAAGGGCCAAGAATTTGTAAAAGAGAATAAAGAGGGGGAATCTGTCTTTTCACATGTCGTAATATACTCATCACTTCAGAGTTAATAAACTGTTTTGAGAAGAGCAATAATACCTGGTTCCTATTAAAAGTTTGACAGCTCAGAGCCGAGGTACTATTATGACTACTTCCATGCTCCTATTCACAATTCTTAACGGCAGCATAAGATATTGAAGGCCACATCCTGACTTTTTAACCTCATGATGAAAACAGCATATACGGCTCAGGGCTCACAGGCTTACAAATACAACACCAGGTTCTCTTAGGACTTGTTTCCCTCTTCTTCTCCCTGACTACACTGCTCTGCACCATCAGTAGCCCTGCCACAGCTGCTGGAGCCCAGTGCGGAAAGCAGGCCTGCTGTCCATAGACCCTCGGGTCCACTGTGAGCACTGCACCCCATCAGACCCATAACCTTGACTTCAGTAGTTCCTTCACATCTGTATTTTCCACCAACACTCCAGGCCGGCAGCTACGTCTATAGTATTTCCAACTCTACTCCCATTTTCTCCTCCAAGACAGCAGAGACTCCCAGAAGTTAAGAAGGAGGTAGGGGATGAGCCCAGAGTAAACTGAAAAACAGGGAACACTCCAAACCTGATTCTAGTGCAGGAACAGACCTATTTGTATGCACAGAGAAATGAAAACAACTACAACTGTTTCAGTCTTGAAATATAGAAGTTAAATTACCACTTACATTTAAAAAACATTCTCGGGATAACAGCCAAAACCTGCAAACATAGGTCCACTTGCTCGTGGGCCCTAGAACTCCTAACTGCTAAATGCACAGACTTGCCATGGTCATTCCATGAACCTTCAACAAATGCCACTCCCAACTGGATTCTGGACATCACTTTACCTTATTTAAACAAATGAGATGCCAAGCCTCTCAAATATATACCAGTGGAACAAGGTTTAGTTCCTATACGTGTTTAAAGATCAAAATTTTATTTGGAAAATTCTGTAATGTCAACTGTTGAAATAGAGAATTTTTATCATAGTCATAAAAATACAGAAAATGATGAGTAAGAATTAAGAAAACATTTTTTAAAAAAGAATGATTTTTTCCAATATCCCCACTGAAATTAAAAACTCTACTTAACAGCCCTGGGTAAAACCACATGTAAGACTATTTGTTTTCAGCTGATTCAATCTCAAATTCTGTAACTGCCTAGACTGGAGTTTCAATAATGGTGAATTGTTGAATATTATGGACGTCTCTATCCAAACACTTAAGACAAATCATCTCGGGCGGTTTCAAATTAAAAGCTTGTAAAATATGTAACCTCTCCTAGTTTTTGCAATTAATAGGGTACATCTGCAATTAGCCTGACTCACTGAATGCAGTGCTGTTGTCATTAAAAGATGTCTGTGAAAGTGCTGCTGTTATTATGGAGGCTCAAGAGACCAATCCCTCCTAGAGGGCAAACAGTGGACTGGTAGAAAACAACAGCCATAAATCACACTGTCAGGCAGCGGGGAGAGCGGAGTGGAGCACAGGCACATGAAGGCCATTCATGGTAAACACAGCACGGCAGCTTCCCAGGCAGGATTTACTGCACCTGTAATTAATTAAAATTTCCTTCAAGCTAAATCTTTAATAAACAAGGATTTGTGCTGACAATGAAGAAAAAAGGGCTCCAGCAACATAATTTTACAATATACTTCACTGAACAAGCACAGCATCTATCATTTCCTGTATCAGGTGTATACACCGTCTCCAAGTTAATAGGAATTACATCACATTACGTTATAATTCGTGTACTTGGAATGGGTCTGAAATATTTAGGATGCTTGAGGGACATCATGGCCCTTTTCTACTTTGTTATGTTTTTAATGGACTCCCACCTTTTGAAAACAGCCAAGTGTTTTTGCTCTGCTTTAGAAGATGGGTCTTTTAAAAGAAAATGGATGGTAGTTTCACCAGATAACCATGATTTTGTGTGATTTGCTCTTTAATCACATCTTGCATTTTCCCAGAAAATGATTTAACAAAATTTTTTAACATTCTGTTTCATTATTTTCATTTGGGGCCAAATGTATTTAGATATGAAGGAAAATAAGGTGTAGACAAGAATGACCATAAACAATTTTGATTAAGGAGGTGTTAACCGTCTACCTGGGGTATGTTTACAAGTTTCCACTATCCAAAAAAGTAGGTGGTTTCTACTTGGTAAGATTTGGTAGGTTATATTCTAGGCCTGAAAGTGCTCAAAATTTAATGGTAATATTGTTCCCAGACCTAAAAAATAACCTACTAAAGCATACAAATAGGAAGATTCTATTTTTGGATAGCAGAGGAGACCTGTAAATTAAGTCAATCAGAAATGTCAGAGTATCTTTTCTGAACTATTGAGATGAAGACATCTATAATATTATTTATTTCTAATAGTAAGAATTACTTGAGTAAATGTTATATGCTGGGGACCATAGTAAGCTCCTCGCGCACACATACTAACCCAACATATCCTCACCAATTTATCCCAAACTTCCCATTTCACAGGAGACAGAGCTAGGCTCAGAGAAGTGAGTTACAAAACAGCAGAGCCAAGATTCAAGTGATGATCTGGTAATTACAAAATCTATACTCTTAAACTGTAGGCCATTGTTGTTTTTCCTACTTTATGCCTCTAAATGCCACAAATTAATCAAAATGAGATAAAACTCTTTCAGTGATCTCAAACATTCCACAGGCTTACTATATCCTACATAGCAGAAAAAGGCAGGCAAGATATAAAATGACAACTATTTCAGAATAAAAACAAGAAATTTCTCATTATACATCTTGTAACAAATTGAAAAAAGGGTCCTTAATAATTAAATAAACTTTACAACACAGTTCTAAAAATGCCACAACCCACTGTGAGTTACGGCATAAGTATCACAAAACTGCCTTCCTTTATAGTCTATTCATATACTTTTTTTTCTTAAGGGAACAATTTTTCAAGGTCAGTTAAAAACACTCTATTTTTTAGAGCCTTAATAGCATCAAATACTGGAGTGTCGTTTATAGTTATCCAACAAATAAACATTAATCAAGCCACAAAACAAGTTTCTAAGCTAGAAAAAGCAAGAGCAAGATTTGAAAGATGCAGAAGGACATCTCTGTGATCTCTTGCATAACAGTTTACATCTTTAGAGATATGAGTAGTTTGTAATGGAAAAGGAACAGTAAAAAGAGGTAAGAATCAGAGTAAAAACACAAGTCTACTGCTTTTCCTCAAAAGTGAAGAAACTTCAAGTTGAAGTCCTTGGTAAACTGTAAAGCACTGTAGAAATAATGACCAATCATATGTATACATGTCTATGTATGCCAAAACCACCTCAGAAGGTGGAATCATTGTAAATAAAAGCGAAATACCTACCTTTTAAGGCTCTATCTGCCAAACAAGTTAAAGAAGCAAGTCTCACCAACAGAAACACTGACTGTGTCAATTCTGTTTACGTTAATGAGTGAATGTATTTCATTTATGCAAAGCTAGTCCCGCAGATTATAACAGAGGGGGCAGAGGTAAACCATGATCCAGGTGAAGGTTTAGTAGGTTACATTTTAGGCCTGGAAATGCTCAAAATTTAATGGTAATATTGTCCCCAGACCTAAAAAATAATCTACTAACTCATACAAATAGGAAGATTCTATTTTTGGATAGCAGAGGAGACCTGTAAATTAATACAGACACCTTACTAGCCCAAAAGAAAATAAAAAGATAAAGAACAACATATGTTAGTGAATCCTGCAACTGGATTTTACATATAAAACATTAAGAGATGTTAACAGAAAATGGAAGTGAAAAAAGAAAACCCATGTGTTACAAGGGTAATGACAGTATAGATAAAATAATTTAGTTTGACTAGAAAAACTGCTATTTTCTTGCTGATAAAATCACTGTTCTTATCAAACATTTACTACACTGTTTTAACTCAGTTTATTTCCCACTTAATTACTTAAATACAGGGCAAAGTTGGTTTTAATAAGAACTAGTATAAAAGCAACATTCCATCTAACCAAACGTGAGCTATCAAATTGCAAATACCTCTGATTCACTTCTGTCAAAAGATCTGCTCACTCATGATCATGAACAAAACAGGAATTTGGAGGAAGAATAACACAGACACTGGAGTTTAGTGGCTTGTGCGTGAAGCTCAGGGACGCCAACATTCAGCAGCTTTCGGCTGGCACTGCTTTCACAAGTGTACATGAGCCCTCACTCAACAGCTACTTCTTGTCAATAACCTGCAAACCCACAGTGAAAATGTGTCCTTATTATTCAGTCAGCAAATACTCATGGCACTTGGGACACAAATTGAGTAAGACAAAGTCCCTACTCGAGCTTACAGTCTAGAATGTGAAACAGAGATGAGAATAAAAAAGTACAACACGATCTACAGATGCTATCCATAGGAATATAGATAAATCTCCTTTTGGTAACATGGCTAAAACTGTAAGTGGGGAAATAAACTTTCAAAATACAGTGATTATAGTTATATGATGATCAAAAATTCATAGAACGAAAAGGAACTTGAGTAAAAAGCACCAATACAAATTGTAAAATTCTCAAAATGACAGGTTCTTTTGTTCATTACAAATATGTTTTAAGGGCCTCCCTGGTGGCACAAGGGGTTAAGCACCACACTATGAAGCAATCCAAAGCCTCTGTAGCACGAGTTCGATCCGCGGCTGGTCAGAGAGCAACCCACATGGCGCAGCAGACCTCTCCTGTCTCACCTGCTGCTCCCCTCAACAGTGTATTTCAGTCAATCTGCCTGTTCTGCTCCCAACTCTGTCTCTGGTGAATCCTCTTACCCACCACACCTCTGACCTGTACCCCAGTTCTTGTACGCATAAATAAATAAATCTTTCAAAAAAAAAAAAGTTTTAAAAGCATTATTAACAGATGCATTTAAAATTAAGAGTTATTATACTATAATTTGTCCCCACTTTTCTAAAATTGTTTAAAGTCATTAATTTCTCAGACTCAGCCAGTTAAGTGTTGTATAAGCCCCTGATTTGCAGATCCACTCATGCTCCCAGGTTTGCGGAGTCTGGCTGCGTCCAGCTGCGTACTACTGGCCAACAAACATGTCCTGACACCACGAGCGGCTGTCAGGATGACAAAACCTATATTCATAATTGTTTTGAAAATACAGGGCTTAAATTAAATGAGTAACAACTGGTTTAAATGCATGAAAAGAAACACAAGAACATACACTTCAGAAACATGTGGCTCCAAGAAAAAATGAAATGAAAAATGGAAGACTTTAAAACAAAACAAGCAAAAAGGTACTGAAGTATTGTAATGTTACCTTTTTATGGGTGTAGGAGCCGGTTTCATGTAGAATTGCCACTCTGAACGGAGGCCACCATGTGTGAAACTCCTTCACCCACTGATGCATCACTGTCGTTGGACACACAATTACAGTTGGACCCAAGCCCTCGAACCTGTACCCAAAACATGCAAAAAGAAAACACAACCATGAATGACAGCATGTGGATGTTTAACTACTAAAACCAAACCAAACCAGAAAACTAGAGTGAAAACTTAAGTTCAAAAAGGAAAATTCTAGCTCTAGAAACTATTGCTATTTTCTTTAAAGACAAAGCTTTTGTGGTAAAACCCAGTAAGTGAACTCTCTACCTTTTCATTCATCCATTAGTGTCTGCAGGTATTAAGAGAAAGCACCAAGTAATACATTAAAAGATGACATCTATAATAAAGCAAATCAAACTAATGACATAATATACTTTTCTCTCCTCTTCTACTCCAGACTGTTGAAAGTAGGACAGTGTCCCTTTTCTCCTTCGCTTTTTAAACTTTTATTTACTTTATATTTTTATGGTTATCTTTGGAAAAGGAATTTCCCCCTCACTACTATCCTAAATATCCCCTTGTTCTTTTCCTTGCCCCCTCTCCTTAATCTCAGAGTATTCATGGTATTTAATTGGTGTAAATGTTCAGTATTTGTTTTCATCATTCTGCTGATTTACTGCACATAATTCTCCTCAAACTCCCACCAGTTTATTTTTCCTTATGGATGAATAGTATTCCACAGTGTGCATACAGACCACATCAGTACACAGTGCTGTGACCTGAACTGAACTGAGAGTATCTTTGTTTGACGCTTTATAGTCTACCAAGAGTTTGCACCCACAGAATGTTAGTCTAGGAAGCAAGCAGGATGGAAAGGAATGCTGGCATGCCTATGGAGACATGGTTACCATGCGATGGAGCAATGCCTAAAAATCAACTTCTGACTGCTGCAGCCTGCTCTTTCAGTGCATCATGTTGATCACTTCTCTGAGTGGTAAAAAGCAAGTGGAGAAGCTCACAGTAATGGTTTTCATTGGAATGTCCATGTCATCAGAGTGTAAGTAAGCTGCGCTGTTGTTGTGGAATGCACCTGAGTAGTACATAGCAAGAGCCTTAACAATAGACACATGTAGACCCTGCAATCCAATGCATTCAGCACTGGATATACGTTGCAGTATTAAATAAGCTAGGTGTTACCTAGCCGTCAATAAGCTCCTAATGGTTAGGAGCACTGCCTGGGTCTGAATCCCAGCCCTGCATATACTCACTGTGTGATGTTAGGTACATCATTTACCCCTCTGAACCTGTTTCTCATCTTAAAATGGAAATAATAAAACTGGTCATACAGGGCTATTAAAGATTAAATTAGCTAATATCTGGAAAGTGCTTAGGCCAATATAGTATGTTAAATGAAGATAGAATATCATATAACTATTAACATCATGGTTGACGAATATCTAAAATGCTGGAAAAATGCTCCAGTCTTAAAAAGGTAGGCAGCAGACTGGGGGCAGCCACTGTCTCAACTTCCATTTCTCTTTTTTCTCCTTCCTAATAGAACCACACATATGAGCAGGTATTTCCTCTCCCTTCCCACAGACACAGGACTCTGACCACTGCCTGCTAGAGTAAAGTGGGGAGAAGCAGACATCCTGGCTCATCTACTGCCTGTCAGCACACGGCATCCCCCTAGTGACGACCACTGGTCCACTGAGGGGCCTGGTAAGACTGGCTCACCTGGTGTATGGAAGCATAGTCTATGTTGGGGAGGTCTTTCTCTGCTGGTCCCTCCTACTGTATGTGAACAAGGAAGTAACCCAATGGCTGCAGGGATTTGGGCTACAGTGTCAGGAGATCTAATGACCATAAGGGGAACTGGTCTTAGGAGAAAATTAAAGTACCTGGGTCCCTGGTGATATCACTGAGCTTCTGATCATGTTGTTTCTACAGCCCACCCTCTCTGTAGGTTTCCAGGTGTCTCACCTATTTTGTGTACATTTGACACAATCTGAAGACAGATTTTATTTACCTGTAGTCAATATATCCTGATATATCGTACCCCAAGGTTCCGACTGAATCAGCACCATTCTGCCCTCCTCTCCTGTGATAGTGGAACAAGTGTTTCTTTTCTTGCCTGAGACCAATTTCTTTACCTATGCTGTAAGCCAGCCCCCTTCACTGTAGCTAGCTGCTTTATCTTCAGTCTTACTAGGAGCTAAAGGCTAGTCAGTGCCTAAAGGAAAATTAAGCAAAAGGCTAACTGTGGAAATCTCTTCAACAGTGCACTCACTCTTAGCTCATGCTACAAGAGGCCAAGACTGACTGAGGGCCGCGGAGGCCCACCTGGCCTGCCTCTCACTCATTCTGGAGCAGAGCTACCAGTACCTTTTCAGTGGCTGTTTCCCCCTCCCCTAATCTTTCCTATCCAACAAGGATGTTGACTGAAGCTAGATGCACACATCCCCAGCACACATTATCCCATGTTATCTCATTAACTATCAAATTTCAATTACTCTACGTTGATGATGCCAAATCTAGGTCTTCAGTTCAGATCTCTTTCCTGAGCACAAAAGTACCAAACTGGTGTCTAACTACTGCTGAAATTCCCACTTAGATGTCCCCAAGGCACAACATGTCATCTCCCTATACTTGCCCTCCTTCCATGTTTCCTAATCCAACAGAAAAAAACTGTTACCTATTCTCCACCTGCCCAAACTGCAAATCCAGGCCTCACCCTCGGCCTGCCCAGGCTGTTCTCCATTGTATTCAGTCTATAGTGACTTCACATATCTACAGTCTATTGATAGAACCCTCTCAAAGTCACCCTGTCTCTCCACCTGCACTGCTGATACTCTAGTTCTAGTCACTACCATCTCTTACTTGGGTTATTGTACTTTCTAGCTTGATCATCTCAAAAAATCAAAATCTGAATATCTCATCTTTTTGCGTTAAGGCCTTTTAATGTTTGCCGAGTGTTCTAACACCTTAACCTGGTCTATGAGATGCAAGGATCTGATAATCTGCTCACCTCTTCAGCCTCACCTCTCACCCCCACCCCCGCCATGTTTGCCCCATGGTTTAGCACTCCACCTGCCTGCACCGTCTTCAGTTCCTCTAAGTACATATTCCTGTGACCTCTCTACCTTCACCTGTCTCATCCTACCCTCTTATCCTAACTACTGGCTATGTGTGGATCAGTCCTCAGCTCCTCTATTGAGCTTTCCCTGTCTCTTCCTCTTCAGATGGGGATCAAGTACCTCTCCTTGGTGCATCCACACTAGTTAGGATCCCACACTAATCCTGCAATAATACACATGTCACCCTTATTGTAACTGTATGATAGTTCCTTCCTAAGCTCCTTGAGTGCACAGAAACAGCTTTTTCTTCAAATGATTTCAATACCTAGGCCACAGGAGATAATGAACACTGGCTCTATTTTTGTTTGTTTTTGTTGTTTTTAAAGATTTATTTATCTATGCATACAAGAACTGGGGTACAGGCCAGAGGTGTGGAGGGGAGGGAAGAAGATTCACCAGAGACAGAGTGAGGAACAGAACAGGCAGCCTGACTGAAATATGCTGCTGAGGGGAGCAGCGGGCAAGATAGGAGAGGTCTGCTGCGCTATGTGGGTTGCTCCCTGGCCAGCGGGGATCAAACTCATGCTGTGATATCTTCATAGGTTGCATCTTAACCCCTTGCGCCACCAGGGAAGCCCAACACTGGCTCTATTAAAAGAAGACTTTTTTAAAGGTTGGAAGAAAATTATATTGAAATGTTAAAAGAGGTTATTTCTGAGTTGGGGGTCATGGGTGGCTTTTTATTTTTCTTGCTACAGCTCAATAAATGTTTCCCAAACTTAAAAAAAGTTTTTATAAATTACAATAAATCACAGGTCTTGAATTATTTAAAATAATCTTCTGCACAACTAAAAACTAGTTTGCAATTCTACCAGAAAAACATAAGTTGATGAAGCTTACTCTTACACTCCAATGCCATAAACTTCCACTCCTAAATCCTCTCATCCTCCAGCAGTAGCCAACATCTCTGTCCCTCTGCTACATAGAAAGTATGTAGAAAGTGTCTCTCTGACTATAAGAAGCGAAGGCTGCCACAGCCTCTGACACGTCTGCAGAATTCCTCACTAAGAGCTGGTCCCTTGCAAGCACTACCCCAAACTCCCTAGGGAGAGTGACTCTGCCCTGGCCCCTTCCATGACAATATTCCTCTCTAAAAGGATTAAATGCACCAGCTTCTTTATGTCCTCCAGGGGGAATAAACGTTATCAATATGCACTTAGCAGGGATTAGAAAATAACCAATCAAAAGCTCTCTAAAACATCTAAAACCAAACTCACTTTCAAATAAACAAAAATTATACATATGCTCTTTTTGGGTTATAATATAACATGCTTTCTGCAAACTGCTACATTGATAACTCATATTTTGTGACCTAAGACCATTAGTTTTTCTGGTTGAATACCTGCCTCACATTATTACGTCCCTAATTTCTGCCACTCTCCACCTATTAGAAGACTATGGAAGTTTCCATGTTAATGAAATCTAGGAACAGATCTGGACTGTTCCTAAACAACAGCAGGGGCAGTCACACCCAGTGAAGATCACAGCAACCAAATCACCCTTTTACAAGCCTCAATCCTGGTGAGATGAGCATACAAATGGGTAAATGTACTACTGATTAGCATTAATCACCAGGCTGGCTACAGTTCCTTTCATCTTTGATTATCATTGATTACTTAATGAATTTAGGACAAATCAATAATTCCAAGGTCAAATATATCAACCTGCAGCATGAAAATCTAGTCACAGCCTAGAATTTACTAGGATGTACAAAATATCTACCTTTGAAAGATTATAAGCTTTTCCAAGCCATTTACTTGTAACTAGGAATTTACTAAAAGATATCCAGGGTATTAAATAATTTAAGGCAAATAATTTATTTCCTCTCAATCACAAAATTGAGGGGTCTTATCACTATTTGGTTGGGAAAGAGAAAGTAGGGTATATATTGTGAACTGGTGTAGATTTTTGTTAATCTCAGATAATAGACTTCTTCCTCTCTGTAAAACAAATGTACATACAAAACACATCTAAAAAAATAAAAACATGGTCCTCCCCGGTGGCGCAGCGGTTGAGCGCTGGGTTGCGAAGCTGCCCGTGGCCTCTGCGGCGCCGGTTTGATCCCCGGCTGCTCCCCGGCCACCAGAGGAGGGTCCCACATGGTGCGCAGACCTCTCCTGCCGCCCGCTGCTCCCCTCAGCAGTGTACTTTGGTCCTTCTGCCTGCTCTGCTCCCCGCTCTGGCTCTGGTGAATTCTCTCACCCTCCCGCGCTTCTGACTGTACCCAGTGCATGTATAAAAAAAAAAAAAACAAACAAACAAACAAATAAATAAATAAAACATGCCTTAATAAAAAAAAAAATTTAAAAAAAAAAAATAAAATAAAAACAAAAAAAAATTCTATTATGAAGTTTCTTCATGGCATACCAGACACTTGCACCATTTCAAAGTTCATAGACCTTGAAACTGCAACACTAAGACCATCTTGAATTAAGGCTGAAAAAAATTTAGTTTGCAAAAGTTCAGAGGAAATGAACAATAGCCAATGAAGCAATGCCAGCTCAAACAACTTCATTTTCCTTCATGAGCTCTTTTTCTTTAGGACATAAACATAAAGGAGAACCCCAACTTCATTTAATTTTAGAGGAGGACATGTTATAAAATTGTTACCAAAATGTTACACAATTTGCTGTGGCACAAGGAACTGGAGGGGCCAAGTTCCTTAGGATAGCCCTTATTCAAAGTCCAGTTGTTTTGTTGACAAATAACCGCATTCTGGAAAGCCATTTCTACAAATACTATTTTAATAAAGACAATCTGGGCTATAGTCCAACATGCCACACTATTTCATTATGGAAAAAAGGATATGAGCATTGATAGCTAATTGATTACAGCTGCTGCTCATTATTAGCCCTGCCTTCACTCTGAGCAGGATTGTCACCACTCGAGAGAGCATGTTTTAATTTTTAGATCAAAACTACACTGCAGGGAGGATTTTCGGTTTCCTAGGCTCAGAGTATTAGACTCCACACAAGTTTCATGATAATAGGAAGGGAAGTGGAAGAAAAGAGATGGGAAATAAGAAAATCCCAGAAATCATTTAAGGAAAGAAAGACAGTACTAGAAACCATCTGGGGCAACTTGGAGTATTCTAGTTATCTTTAAAAAAAATAATAATAACCAACCCAAGTAGAACTGTAGAGACGACCAAGCCAACCAAAAAAGCCTAGTTAGAACACAGCATTTTTTAAAATTTTAAACTAATGGCAATCATATATAAGAAAACACTAAATGCCCATTTTTAACTTTGACTTTTCCCTTTGTTTCTAGCAAAACATAATGAAACCCTAATATTTGAAGAAAATCTTTTGTGTTGATATAACGTCCTTGGAATAACAACAAACCATCTAGTATTAAAAAAAACATACAAATGTTTTTCCCCTTTTAAGTCTATATAGATATTTCTAAAATACTCTAAAACTTCAAATTCTTCTCCCGAGAAGTGCTGATCTGCTAAAATGAAGAGTAAGAAATAAAAACAAAGCCAAACTCTGAAGATTTAAATGTTCTTTACTCAATAGTTTATTACAGGTATTTGGCTCTCTACTAAATGTTTCCCTGCCAATGAGCCAGTTAAGGATAGTAACTTTCTACAGTTGCTGACTTCAGGCCCACTGAGAATATTTTAAAGGTGTCTTCAAATTGTATCTACTGAGTACCTGATTTTTCTATGAGATAACCACCTGGTACACACCTTGCTGTTAGTCGTCAGATCAACTTATTGGCCAAAGAAGTCTTGGATTATATAGGTTCAAAATTAAATATCCCACAAAAGGATTGTGGGTGCCTTGGTGGTGGATGTGGTGTGGTGACATGCATCTGAGGAGGTGTGATCCTATGCTTCTGAATCACAGTGTTGTAAATCACTTTTACCTCAATAAAAATAAATAAATAAATAACCCACCTAATTCACCTACCATTATTTTTTTTATGGATACTGATTTACATAAAGCCAATTCACAGCTTAAATATGGAAATGCTCACTGTACTTTAATTCAAGATATTCCAGTCCTATCATACTGAACTAACAAAGTTTAAATGCTATTTCTTCCTGAACAGTTTTAATAGTTTAAATTCCTAACAAGAATAAAGATTAGAATCTAAACACAGTTTTCTTTCATTTTAGACATCCTTTTGGCTTTGACCTTAGAATTTACATAAAATTCTTAAAGATTGGGAGAGGGGATAGAAAGGATAGTAAGCAGACAAGAAACTTCATTTAAAAAAAAAAAAGTGCTATCGTCCACATTGATTATAAAAGAAGTTCAGGAGAATGGCTTCACCAGAGCTCCAACTTTCTCCATGAATAGACTTTGTACTTACTGTAATGCTCACCTGGTCTCCTGCCAGAACAAATATTTTAATGTAAAATTTAATAAATGGAACTAAAGGTATTATGTCTAATTTAAAATTCCATATTGTGTAAACTATTGATATTAACATAATTGAGTTTGTAAACAATCCATTTGTAGATGCTAACCTTAGACACTGTATTGACCCAAAACATCTAGTGGGGCTCATCTGCAAAATGAAGCATCAATGCCTGGAATTCATTAAAAGTGTTACATGTTTAATTTCTCCTGCCCTACAGCTCCATTGTCTCGTAAAAATTTTCCTTTGATGTCCCCCACTAAAAGAATTAAAGGAATATTGTAATTGAAATGTCATCAATAATTCACAAGACCCTCCTCCACAGCAATACATCTGATGAAATATTAATTGAGCTCCACAGACTGACAGTCTGCAGAGGAGCACTTGCCTGTAATTTGAACCACGAGTCCTGATCTTGCTGTAGCTCAGACCTGCCAAGAAGGCAATTATCTGGATGGTCTTGCCCAATCCCATTTCGTCTCCCAGAATTCCTCCTGCCTGCTGGCAGTGCAATTCCCACAGCCACCTAACACCTGTCTGCTGGTACCTACAACAACAAACACCAACAAGGAAAAGAAAATGGCAAATGGTGGGTAATACAGATCATAACAGAAAGTACTCATGAATTAATCATTTGGCTAGATTCTAGTACCAGTCAGAGAAACATGCCGGATGTGTGTTTTACATGAGTATTATATTTATAAGGTCATACATTTTTGATCACCTAGGCATAAAATCACAAATTTTTCTTTACAGAATGTTAACACATTTCTAATTAAATTGATAGATGGGATAATTAGAGACTATTTCATTTCTTTTTCAACATTAGAAATAGCCTGGTAAATAAGCATAAACTTACTGTCTTTTCAGTATCTTTCTGGGGAAAAAATTCTCAAATATTTTTAGTTATATAAAATTCCAATAATTTTTCAATGAAAAGAAAGCATGAACATTTCCTTTTTAATATGAGCAACGTCAAAAAAAGGGAAAACATCACAATTTACAGCATATACTGCTGAAAGTCACTTGGTAATCATATTACTTTTATAGGAAAAATTAAATTATATTTTAAGGCCATAAACAGTCTGAATAATGTGGCTGCTTACAAGATTAGTACATAACAGATGATTCTGTCATATTACTAGCAGATGCAAAAAAAGAACAGTTTAAAGACTCAACAATACAAAAGGTCTATTTAATATTTTAAAGCAGAACTCGATTCAGGGACTTTACCATAGATACAAAAAGACCAGGGCCACTAAAATTTTAGATCGGGAGTACAGGTCAAAGACAAATATATATTTTCCCTCTTTAAAAATAAAGAATAGCATGTTTAATCTATATCCCAAAAGTAAAGTTTTTTTAATAAGTAGTAATTAATGCAAAAAGCATTTTGAGAGTGAAAGATTTAAACATCATGGAAGGATAGGAAGATTATGTGTCAGGTAAAAAGATCTAAAGCAAATAACAATGTTTAAGTTAAGAGACAAGGAAAGCTAAAGATTTTTTTTTTTTTTTCAAAGAAAATACCAAGGCTAGTACGCTTCCCACATTCAAAGCAGGTGCTTTTGTTGTTTTACTACCCAAAAGTTTATTATTTGGGTTGTGGAATGTCTACTTAAAATCTCATTGTGGACTTCTGTCCCTGCTGAACTCTTTCATTTAATCTCCTCTGAGTAAATATGTTATAACTAACTTTCTTCCAGCATTTTGCACATCAGTTCTGTAACTCTGACTCCAACTGTTGCTATTATTATCTACCATGCAAAGGAAAACTTTGAATAAGTTTGCTAATTGTAATTCATAAACTGAATCTGCACCCCAGGGGAGAAGATTTTTTTAAAAACACAATGAAGTAGATAGTACAGATAGAAGATGATTTAATTTGGGAAGGACAAATTCTACTAACAAAGCTATGTAATCAGAGAATAATGACTACCACTTAAGAAACTTACTGCTGGGAGGAGGCACCAGTACATGTGGATTGTATATAGCCCCAAATGAAGGCTCATGGAATGGACATAATTGGCACATTTTACGGATAGAAAAATGAAGGCACAGAGAGATTAAATAACTTATCAAAGGTCACACACAAATGAGGGAAAAAATGAGCCATCCAGAACTGAAATTCTGCACCTCTGATTCCAAAGTGTTAGGAGATAATTTTGACCAGTGGTTCTCAAGGGGGAGTGGGGGACATTTCTCTGCATGGGACATTTGGCAGGATATTGACAGTTACAACTGGGAAAGGACAATGTCATCTGGTGGGTAGATGTCAGAGATGCTGTTCAACATCCTACAATGCATAGGATAGTCCCTACAACAAAGAAAATACTAATTTGACCCAAAATGTCAACTATGTTAAGGATCAGATTTTCTTTTTTTCTTTTTTAAGATTTATTTATTTTGCCCCCCACCCCCCGCCAGAGGTGGGGGGGCAGGAAGAGGACTCACCAGAGACAGAGAGGGAAACAGAACAGGCAGATTGACCGAAACACACAGCTGAGGGGAACAGCGGGCGAGCCAGGAGAAGTCTGCTGTGCCATATGGGTAGCTACCTGGCCAGGGATTGAACCCATGCTGCAGTGGCTGCAAACAGCTTCATAGGCTGCGTCCCAACCCCTGCGCCACCAGGGAGGCCCAGGATCAGATTTTCTGATCTAAAATAACAGCTGGCTGTGAACTGGCTACACTGTACTCAGCTATGGGAAAAACAGCAATCCATAATCCTCTGAACAAAACTAATATACAATATAATGAATTCTAGTCAATCCACCCCCTTTAACTAGGGGAAGAGCTGAAACCAAAATTTTCCAGAAATCATTCCATTTCACCAGTATACCACACAGCCTCCACCCAACACAAGTCCAAAATCTCTCTCTGTTTGGGGCCAACTACTTAAGGAGAAAGAATCTAGAAAGTGGTGATCAAGTAATCATGAAAGGAGTAAGAAATGGTGACCAGGATGGTATATCCCAGAAGGAGTTTGGGAGGGAGTTAAGACATTTGGACTCTCAATGTGACCCAGGAGAGGTAGTATCAGTGTGCTGGGTAGTTGCTAATTTACAAATATTATCTTCAAGGGCATTCAAACAGCATTATTGTTGTTTACTAGAAGATGACTGACACTAAAGAAATGACTTTAAGGAAAACACACACTAGGCGACCCCCATAAGTCACATCACTATATGGGACTCCCAATGATTGGGGACATTGTACAAAGACAGCCAAGAGTGAATTTTACTTTCAAGAAAGGACCTCAGATTGCACTGGCACACTGGTTGGTAGGCATGTATCACTGATGAAGAGTTGAAGGCCTGGGTTTTGCTTATAGGAGTGCCACTAACTGACTAAAGTTTTATTGCTTTAATTTCCTAATTACAAAGGTTGTAAGACAATTATATACTTTAAGTGAAAACAGGTTCTAGAATTTAGCTTTCAGTACCTTTGAAAAACATATAAAATTATTCTTCAGGAAAAGTTAAAGATATTTACAAGCTATTGTACAACAGTGAAGAAATTACTATGCTCTGCTTTCTCCATGAAGCTGAAGCATCACAAAATGACCATGGACAGAGAGATCTTGGCATCATCACACTAATCCAACATTGCATTTGCCAGTGTGGCTAAAAGTAAGGTCAAAAGATTGAAGTTTGTCATTTGATTGCTAAATTATATAGATGAATGCATTTGCTGGACAACCTTTCAAAACAGAATTTTAAAAGTTAAACATAATCTTGCAGAAAATAGCACTTAAATGGATAATTGTACCTTCCTACTCCCTTGTGTACAACTATACCCTGTTAATTTAATTCCAGAGTATGGTAAATACAGTAAAAATATATCTACAGATTGAAATTAAATTGGCCTAGCAAAACTTAATCACAAAAGAAAAATGGAGACATTATCGAATCCTACTAGTGTTTTTTGAATAGAAAAAGGTATAGAAGTCTTACATTTATGAAATATTTAAAATTCTGCTTTTGAGAGACAAAACAAAATACTTCTAGGAACATGCAATTAAGATTGAAAAAACAAACATGTACTTACATGGTAAATAGTCAATACACTGGCTCCTACAGACTCTTACTAAGCGAAGTTTGTTTCTATTAACTGTGAAATTTCTTTGCCAGAAAATCACATTTATACAAAAAAAGCACATTCAACTTGACTCTTGAGGATATTTGCCAAATCACTTCCTACACAAGCAGAAGAATCCTGTCTTTGTTAAATTAATTTAACCTATTATTTGGGTATTCCTTTTGGTAGCACAACACTGACACTATTTGGTCTATTCCTTAATAAGCAATCACTTTAGAGAAGATAAAAAGAGTTGCCTATAACTGTTGTCTTTATTTATCTTTCCATAGTTAATTTTCATTTGGGAGAAGCAATAAACAAAGCAGCCACCTCTCAGGGCTATAAAATGATTTGCCTGCCAAAATTATTAGAGACTCAGATTTGAACATCTACATAATTCTTCTGTCGAGTTATGGCAATCCCATCAAGACACTTAACATCTTTAGGATGCAACTACCCTATATGTTCAGTGGGATGAAATAACTACTTCCCAAGCTGCCCCCCTCCATAGGAAGAAAAATTAAAAGCTCTCTGAGAGGAAATATTAAATACATGCTATTTTTAAATAGTTATCCTATACAAGTTTAAGATATTTAGATGGCTGACCGCTTTATCTATGCAGGAGATTAAATATAATCACCTTAAAAAAGGAAGTCTATCTCCACCCAACTACCAAGTGATAATACAAAGACAGAAAGAAGCTGTTTAATGGTTTAACTTCCTATGTGCATTGACGAAGCCTTCCTAAAGTATCTTGTTAAGTAAATCCCAGGAGTGATGAGATTGAAAATGTGCCTAAGAATTTACATTCATCATGGGAGATCCACCCAGGCCATGTAGGCTTATGGGCATGCATCTATCACACAGTATCTGGTTATCTAGAGTACTTGGTCACTTCACATATGCAGTTTAGTCAGTTTCAAAGAGCACCTTAATCCTGGAGGCATTTGCCATTTGCCTATATCTTCTCTTTTAGAACAACATCTACATAAAATATTTAGATGTACATTTGGTCAGTTCAAAAGTAGTATACCCTTAGGTACAATATGAGACAAGAGAAAATAATCTCAACAGTTTATTTCCACACAGTAGTAAAAAAAAAAAAAAAAAACCTCTCCTACTATTGATTTTAATATACAACTCTTCTTAATTAATCTGACTTAAGAAATTAGAGCTTTGGTACCTTAAAATTACTAAGAACAAAAAAACAACTCAACATGGATGGCTTTTTAAATGTGTTGCTTTTAGTCTGCTGAGACAGGTCCATATAGATTCATCAGTTTACAAACATACCCAATGCGCACTTTAGTCAATTTATTATCATCTAATTTTAATGAACAGCATGTGGCTAAAATTTCATTTGACAGTATCTGTATTTGCAATAAATTGCTGCAAGTACCTTAAGGGCCCACAGGTAACTACTGTGTAATTCCTAAAATATTAATTTGTACACAATGGCTTGATGACAGACATAAAGGAAAGAACACATGGCACATACTTAAAAAGCTTTTTGAACAGAAAACCTGGCATTTTAAAACCTTCATCAAATTCAGCATCGCTTTCCTCTGAATCGTCTTCAAGCTTCAGACACTTCTCTTTGTCCCGCATTCTCAGTTTATTCCATCTCCTACCATGGAAATAAAAATCATATTTCCATTATTTTGGTTACAAGTCAGATTAAAATAGACAATTCTAGACAATGCAATGAACAGGCAACTGAGAATATCTTCTAGCATTCTGCTGCTGTCATTACCCAAAACAATAATATTCAAAGAAAAACCATTCACTTTTCCTTATCAAATCTATTTGCTCCTCTTCTGGCATACCCTAAGGAAAATTTCTCTGCTAGTTCCTAAAATATATGAATTAAATTCTAGAAAAGATTCAGTGAAAATTTCAATATAACTATCTCAAAAATGGCAATATAACAATATTTTAATTTATAATTACTATTTCTGTGCTAAAGACTTGATAGTCACAGCATAGTATCTTAAAACATAAAGCAAATTTTTGGTATTTACATATATGAGATTCACATATTGATTACTTCATGGGGAGCCTCAGTAATAAAGTATTGGTAATGATACCACTTAAGGAAAAGTGCATTCATTAAATAAACTCTAAGCCATATATATAACATAAATTTACTAAATGATGCTTTTCAAATATAAAATAAGATGAACATTTATTTTTCAGGCGGGTGATGCCATGCGGGTAAAACAAGAAATGTCTAAACACCTGAAAGTCTCAGCAACAACAAAGATTACTGGGAAGGTGCAGCTATTTAACCAGATTAATTCTGCTTCCATACAACTAAATGAATCCTGATGTCGGGAGTGAAAAAAGAAAAAAAGTCAACAGTCTCACATTCTATTCACTTTTAAAATTAAAGGCTGACTTCTTTCAGCATGCTTACAACGGACACTTTGAATTTCACAAAATAGCAAAAATGAAATAAAGCAATTGTACAGATAAATGCCTTCCCACTTAAAAAGCTCATAGGAAGGGAATGAGAACAAGACACATAAGGAGGCATTTATCTGCTATTGCCCAAGCAAGGAGAAGAGAAAGTGTGAGGGAGAAAATGAGGATTAACAATGCACATTGACTGGTGAGAGGAATGGCACACTTTCCAGTGCCGATCACAAAACCAGCAGAGGTGGAATTCTAGATTGTGAGGCAACCCTGTTCAAGTAGCTGCTGGAGGACCTGGAAACAAATCCTCTGATAAATTCTTGCCTTGTTGAAAATTTCAACTATTCAAAGTCACAAAAGAAGGGCCAGTTGAAGTTTAACTATGATCAGTAAGACAGAACTAGCTGGTCAACTGGAACTGCCTTGCAGGGGACTAAGAGAGCTTACAAATACACACTGTTGGCAATTTTCACAGAACAGCAAATGGAAGGGGCAATAGATGGCCAAGTCTCAGGAAATAGCTATCATATAACCATAAGGTTTAATATGTGCTAGTCTTGTTATAAAAAAAGTTGAGTGGGGTGTGTGTGTGTGTGTGTGCTTTAACTTCTAAAGGCACTCTCTTCCTCTTCTATTTGCATTTTTCTTCATTAAAAAATTATTTCCCTGCAACTGATAAAATGAACTACCTCTGGGAGGCTATTAACAATAGTTTTCTCTGTTTTTCTAATTTTCACATTATCTACAAATTTAGTTAAGTGCAATGGTTTTACAGCTGTGGTTCTCAACAGCAGACAATTGGCCATCACTTCCCTACCACCACCACCACAATGTGACAATGTCTGGTGACCTATTTGATTGTTACAATTGCTAGGGGAAGGGGAGACACACTACTAGCATCTAACAGGTAGGGACCAGGGTTGATGTTAGGCATCTTCCAATGCACAGGATGTCTTAATCCTCCACAACAAAAGGCAATATGGCCTCAAATATCAATAGTGCCAACGCTGAGAAACCCTTCTGTATCTGTAGCCCTTACTAATGAAACTTAGAAGCCAAAATACATATTCTTTTTTATGATATTTATATCTGAATTCTTGCTACTCACTAACTGAAATTTAGCAAGCAATTTCAGGTGACCTATTCTTCAGTATGCAAACTCTTACTCTCAACTCAGAATCAAACATTCATAACAAGATACTTGCATTTACAAATTAAAGAGCTTCTGCACAGCAAAAGAGACAAAAACAAAGAGAAACCCCACCAACTGGGAGAACATTTTTGCACACAGCACTAATGATAAAGGACTGATCACAAAAATCTGCAAAGAGCTAATGAGATTCAACAAAAACAAAGAAAATAATCCAGTCAAAAAATGGGCAGAAGAGCTAAAAAGAAACTTCTCCGAAGAGGAAATGCAAATGGCCAACAGGCATATGAAAAAATGTTCAACATCACTTGTCATCAGGGAAATGCAAATCAAAACTACCATGAGATACCATCTTAAACCAGTGAGAATGGCACATATTAAAAAAACTAGCAACAACAAATGTTGGCGAGGGTGTGGAGAAAAAGGAACCCTTCTGCATGTTGGTGGGAGTGCAAACTGGTCCAACCACTATGGAGAGCTGTGTAGAGATTTCTGGACCTACTAAACATAGAGCTTCCCTATGATCCAGCAATTCCACTCCTAGGTATTTACCCAAAGGACACAGAAACATCAGTTCCAAAGAGCACCTGCACCCCTATGTTTATAGCAGCACTGTTTACAATAGCTAAGCTTTGGAAACAACCCAAATGTCCAAAAATAGATGACTAGATCAAGAAGATGTGGTACATATACACCATGGAATATTACTCAGCATTCAAAAAAGATAAACACATGCAATTTGCAGCAACATGGATGGCGCTGGAAGGGATCATGCTCAGCGAAATAAGCCAGAAAGAAGAAGAAAAATACCGGATGGTCTCACTCATAGCAGGAATCTAGAAAACTTAAATAAGGGACCAGGAAAATGAATAACTATAAGAAAGTGAAAATCAAAATCAACAAAAAACTATAAACCAGAGACACTCTATGGGGGGTAGGGGGAGGGAGAGGAGGGATTGGGGTCAAAATAAGGGGGTTGCAATTATATGGGGAATATAAAAATAAAATTTATTATAAAAAAATAAATAAATAAAGTGTTCCATGGGGGGGAAAAAAAAGATACTTGCATTTAGCAAATTTGTGGGTGGTATGAAACACAAAAAGAATCACCAAAATTATCATAGCTATTTAAAAACACTTCATTTTGCAATTCAAAGATAATTTTACAGGAACACAAAAGAGAAAAAAAAAAAAAAACAGAAGACAGTAGGTTTAAAAGTTCCACACAGGTCATTAAATATTTTACATACTAGAGTATCATATTTTAAACTTCAGTGATAGATCATTGTTACCTTCCTTACACTCAGCCAATAAATCTTTGTGGCTGTTAAATTTCCTACCGCATCCCTCTGCATCAACAGGACTTCAGTTTCCTTCTTCTCCCACCCTCCCTCCTAAAATATACAGGCATCATGTCACCACAGAACTCACGGCACCTAGGAAACCACATAAGCCACTACAGAAATGATTGCATTCCAGTGCCTTCCGCCTCATAAAGAAAGATGAAAAGAGTCAAACATTTATTCAGATTGGGTAAAGGATGACTAAAGGTGGTGGGGAAAAATCATTATTGCCAACAAGTATCTGTATCATTGTGAAGACAAACTGCCCCAGTAGAATCATATAAACATATTAGAAACAGAAACTACCAGGGTTATAAAACCACATGCACATGAGGCTCAAGCTAAGAGATTCCTCAGTTATATAAAGCAGCAATTCCCCACGTGGCTTGGAGCCAAAACAGCCCTGACCACCTAACTAGTGCCCACTGAAGCAGTGCAGCACCATGCCCTGGTCCACAAGAAGTAGGACATAGGAGGTGGAGGAGAGCCAGACTCACCTGGATTCTGCCACAGATGCCTTTCCTATCCTACATGCTGTCAGGGTCTTAAAGTGCTCTCTTTGGTGCACTTCACCCATTTGTCCTGTGGCCTGGCAGACTGAGAGCGCTGTCTGGCCAGCAGATGTTAAGGGGGATTCTACACTATGAATAAACTGCGTTTGACATATGCAGTAAGCACAAGCCAAAATATAAAAGTCTGGCCTCAGACAGTCCAGAATTTTATTCTGATGGCCATTTATTAGCTCTTCAACCCTGAGAACGTAACTTAACCTCCATAGCATCTAAGCTTCCTCAGCAGTGAGAAGGGAAGAACAGTAGCATGTACATCACTGGATTTGGGGGGGGAGGGGCAATAAATGAGGTGTCAATGCACAGCATTTAGCACAAGCCTAGAATATATTAAGTGCTTAATGAATTAATATGCCATTATATATACTCAAATCTACCTGTTGAAATCCTCCCAGTAGGACCTCCCTGGTGGCACTTTGGGTTAAGCACCTCACTATGAAGCAATCCCTGCAGCATGAGTTCAATCCTCGGCAGGCCAGGGAGCTACCCACGTGGCGCAGCAGACCTCTCCTGTCTTGCCCGCTGCTCCCCTCAGCAGTGTATTTCAGCCAGTCTGCCTGTTCTGTTCCCCATTCTATCTCTGGTTAATCCTCTCACCCCCCCACATCTCTGGCCTGTACCCCAGCTCTTGTATGCATAAATAAGTAAATCTTTAAAAAAAAAGAAAAAAAAAGAAATCCTAACAGTAACTATTGCTATGTTCACTTACACAGGAAGAAACAGAGGCAACACACAGTTCAATAAAATCTGCCCACACTTAATGGAACCCCACCTGAACGTGTATATTTGAACAATAACTGTTTAGCAAATGTATGCTCAGTATATTATTATGAACACATTATCACCATGAGTAAAGAAACCAGCCACCATAAAGGACCTGCTGAAAAACGTCAATTTTAAAGGTCTGAAGCAGATTTATAAATAGTAAACTCTCATGAAGTATGGCACTCTTTGATATGATAGTGACCAAAAAAAAAAAAAAAAAAAAAAAAAAGACGCAGAATGACTTAAATTGGTTAGGGGAGGCAGGTCAAAATTAAGATCTGAGGGCCTCCCTGGTGGCGCAAGGGGCTAAGATGCAACCTATGAAGCAATCCACAGCCATTGCAGCACGAGTTCAATCCCTGGCCAGGGAGCAACCCACATGGCA